CATCGGAGACGCTCGCATGTACAAGGCAGTCCTCCAGAATGACCTTTTGCAAGATCCTAAAGAAGGAGCCAACTATTTCAAGAACACGCTGAAGAAGTTCTTCCTGAAGGGCTCGACGAAAGTGTACTTATACAGACCCACCCATATTCACATCAAAATCTGAGATTCTCTTGATGAGATTGAACGCAGCCTGGATGGACTTGCTGCCTGTTCACCCGGCACACTCACCAGAGTTCATAGCATCAGTACAAGATGCTACTGCAAGCAGAATGGCCGCGCATCAGCAAGCCGCCGGTGTCAGAGCCACGCCTTCAGATCTGCTGTCCATAGAAAATCCAGAAGTACTCAGGCAGTACCGCAACGGTATGCAGACAAGACAAGGGGAGTAGGAAGGCGAAGAAGGTTTCTGGGTGGAAGACGAAGATGGAGCTGAAGGATTCATGGCGAACAATGATTCTGGGTTTTCGAGGAGAATGATGCGTTCATCGCAAGGAAGGTGTCTGGGCGCAATTTCAGATTCAAGAAGAGAAAAAGAAAAGGAAAAGGAAAATCAGGACATAAAAAGGGGAGTCACCAACGAGGTGGCTTCAAACCTTTCAGAAGAAGTGGTTCCGGCGGGAAGGCCAATATGGCCAACGAAAATCAGGATCCCTACGACCAGCCATACTGGGGAAAAGGCAAAGGAAAGAAAGGGAAGAAAGGAAAATCGAAACCATCCTATGACAGTGGCAAAGGAAAAGGCGGACATGACAAAGGAAAATCCAAAACGTTCGCAGCCACGGCAGAGAATTTGGAGGAGCAGCCCGCCAATCAAGACTGCACCATCCACAGAGCCTACCTATGCCGGTTGGACAGACCAAGACTGGGTTCCATCATGGAATTAGAGTGAATCAGGCTGGTACTCATCCTGTGAGACATCCAGCACAGGACAAGCATCAGTGGCATTCCATGACGCTTTTCAGCAGCATGAGAAAAAGGCCATCCAGAGCCTTACGGCAACAAAGCTGATGGCGCCTGTCATCGACCCGCAACAATCCAACCTATGCGATCCTGGACAACGGATGTACCAGATCCATGCAATCCAGCGTTTTAGGCCATCGAACCCATGAAAGACCTTATTTCCTACCAGTACATCCCAGCCGAGACCAAGTTCACATTTGCAAATGGAGAGACAGCTAAGGTCAATTGGACCTTGCATCTTAAATATCACACGACTCCTCCAGCCAGTACATCGACATCCTTGAACAAGGCACTGTACCAATCCTCCTCAGCATCAGCATCAGCGATGCGGAACCTCTACATCACCATTGAGCACACAGACAAGATCACATGCAAGGCATTTGGCATGAATCGTCAAGCGGTTCCGGTATCGATCTTGCTGGAGTGGCAAGAGTGAAATCACATGGAGAGATTGCTGCAAAGGGCCTCACAATTAATTTTACGATGATGACAACAGCATCAAGTTTCCTTCCGAGGATTACTCCAAGAGAGAAACTGTTTGTGACAAACTGTTTGTGCATCCAAGTCACCCAAGACAAAAGAGGACACGGCAACTCCGAAAACCATTGGGTCTCTAAAGCAGGATCGTTGGATATTCGACAAGAAGAACAAGCAGCTCATCCGTGTGCGCATCACGTCTTGCAAGGCGCCTGTTCACACCAACAGGAGCGAAGGAATGTCCAATCAATTTTGACAACATCGGCCGAGAACGTACAACAGAGATCGTTGATGCATCCAAGGACGGAGATCCAGACATCCTAGAAGACAATTGGAGACTTAAATCCCAGGCGAAGAAAGCAATAATCAACCTGTGGATAGGTAAGACCATTTTCACCTTCGCAGACAACTCGCCAAAAGACAAAAAATCAGGTTCAGGATCTGCAGCAGAAACGATCATCGACAGGAAAGGCCGGTCGACCATTGAGCCAGATCCTACTGCACCATCCGCAGACAAACCGACATCGTTACCCCTTCCCTTAGGCAGAATTCACCAGCGATTGTCAAAGCCCGAAGAGTTGAAGAAGCTCCACCTTCAGCATCATCACATGACTACCGACCAATTTCGATTAAGAACCCGCGCTCTTCACTTGCCGAAATCTACCTATGACAAAATACGAAGTGAGTGCCAGAAGCAATACTATCGAGAATGGAATGCTTGAAACGTGGTTCAAGACAGGTCAAGCGTCAAATGTTTCGTCCCGATCCGTGGGTGCGTTCCGTGGGGAACGCACAACAATGTAGTCTTATATAGTTTTCCTTTTCGCTAGTCATTCCCCCTCTGATTCTTCGGCTTCGGAGGTTGCAGCCTCAGCTGCTGCACTCTGAAAGCCATGCCACGTTCTGTGCAGCTTCTTTATAAGGAGTAAAGGCCACATTGAAACCCAACCTTTCGGGAGAAAACCCTAACAGCTGAGCTTGGAGCTTCAGGCATTCCGCCGTCGCCTGCCTCACCTTGGAAATACGCGCACGCACACATGGGAACGCGTCTTGTGTGGGTAGCACCTGGGTTTGCTTCGGCAAGCCGAAGGAAAAGCCGCCCACGTGTTTTTTGTGAGGTTAGACAAAGGCTTGGTGCTTCAGGTGAGACTGGATGTGCGCCTCGAGGCCTCCAATTAGCGGGAAGAACGTGTAGCGAGAAGCCTACGTCGGGTAAAAGTAAATGTGGGCACAGCAAGGATGACTTAATTGACATGGAGCAGTTGTGCCATCTACTTCCATTCACCCAACTTCACAAGCTGTTGGACACCTGTCACTTGCATGGGAATAATCAGCATGGGCCAGTGAAATATGGCAGGGCTTTCCACAGGGTTCCGTGAACTTTGGCATACGGCCAAAGCGGACCGCAAAAAACACGGTAGCAGCATTTGTGCACCTTCGGATTCTCCAATGTCAGCTGAAACACCTTCATCAGGGATCCTTACATTATACACCTGAACATTGCCTTGTAAATGGTGGTTTCCCGTTATTTTGGTGGAAACCGACATGTTTCAAATGGGCAAAATGTATCTTTTAAGGATCCCTCTTCATTTTGACTGGCTTGGGCTGAAAGGAAGATCCGGGCTGCCCGGCAGCAGGGCAGCCCTTGGAGAAGAGTTTGGAGCTGCGGGCCCGCTGCACCAACTCGAAGGCCCCCAGCTCCTGAAGCCGCCTGTCGCAGAGCTTGGTTTTGGTCGCGCTTTCTAAGGGCTGCATGCTGCATATTTCTTTACCCAGGGCTGCATGCTGCATCTCACTTCGCACAAAACCTGAAATCTCCAAGACCTATGCTGGAAGGCCTTGTTTCGGGCGTAAAAGGCCAACACTCGGAGCCGGAGCCGGCTCTGGTAAGGCAGCTACACCCTCATTCACTCGTCTACGTATACCTCACAGTGTATGATTTCCGTTCTTCAGTTCGTAAAGAAGTCGACCATTCTTATCATCCGGCGTTCACATTGGATAGAACAGAATGCGCAATTCCCATTTAGCATAAGTTGGTATAACCATGGTCTCTGTTGTCATGTTCTGCCAGGTCCTGCTAGCAATGGTGCTAATTGTGCCTTACAAAGTGTGTAGCGACCTAAGCCTCTGCGCCTCTCCCCAACACCACGGGAATCAGGCACATTCGGGTCACACGCAAAACACATCCTCACAATGGTAAACAATATCCTCGCACAGATCAGAACAATAAATTTGGTTTTGAAGGCACCCTGTGGGGTAATGTGGGGGTACTTTTGAGAGCAAAAAAATCCGGAGAACACTTCGCCGGGCTCACTTCGGCTGCAGCTCCGCAAAGCGGTGCAGCGCCTGGCAACGTTCCAGGGATCATAGCTCACAGGGCTTCGGAAGACGAAAGCTTTCCTCCCCAAACGTCCACTTCCATTGTTGAAAAGAGGGTAAGTGATGGAGGTGACGGGCAGAATGGGAAGGCCATCTACATTCACCCAGCCTCTTTTCGGGAGCTTGACAGGAGTGTTTTGGAGACTGGCCTTTTGGAGAAGCCCACTAATGAAAACGTCGAATCTTTCTGTACATTCAATTGTCTGGCTGTCATGATACTTCAGCAGCTGAAAATGTAGGACCCGGGTCTGAGGGCGCCGACCAAATGAAGATTCTCCTTTGGTGGCTACCCTGTTTGGGTTCCACGCTAATTTGCACGGGAGACATTGTGTGCTGTTCAAATCCTTCAAAATGTCCAACAGGCTATTGCAGTCCAAAACCATCCAAGAGCTTCTTGTGTCGCCCGCCTGAGAGCCCCAGAGTGCCACCTGGCTGAGAGAAAAAACAAGTCAAGTTCAGGCACGGAAGTGGCATAGCGCGTGCTTAACCATGTTCATTGTGGTGGCTGCCTGGCCAGAATGCTGGCATGTCCCCTGAATAACTCACTGCACCGAAAAACCAAACGGGCCAGCTCGAAGAAAGACCCTCCATTTGCGAGTGGTCACTGAAACGCAATTCGCTTGTTGACACCGAAGTTGTGGCCCGCACACACAGACAAGCGCAACGGGCATCTACCAAACATGTTCACCGAGACAAGCTGTACCACCTAAAATCGCGTCATCATAAACATGTTTTTGGATTCACCTGAACCCACTGCTGAAACCTGCTGGGCCAAACACCTGCCTCAAAACGGTCCAGCCAATCTAGTTGCCTGACCGTTTTCCTAGCTGGTGCCTGGGGCAATACAGCAGCACATGAGGCTGGGCTAGGACAATGACCCTCCACAAGGCACAAGGGAGCCCCGGCAAGGAAAAGGTAGCAGCGTGTCAGATGGTGTGCAAATGTTTGCTGCGAAGAAGGTAACAACTCCCTCTATACTCTGCAGTGCGCTGCTGTCTGCAAAGCGTCGCAGTTCTCTGCAGCGCTCCTTGCAACAAACAAAACGCGACAAAGCCAGCCACCATCCAGCATAGTTCATGACGCACCGCAGCCTTTTCGCTTGCCGTCATCCTTCGGCGAGTTTATGCCGACGAATTTGCAAACATGTACACTGACCCCCAGTTGTGGGGTGCTTTACTTACATCCTACTCAGCCTTGTCTGCCTTGTCTTTGTCCTTCTCATCGCTTCCTCGGCGCGCCGAAGGCAACAGCCATGCGCTCAGTTTGGGTTCCTTCCGCAAACACGGCACCGGATGGGACCTGGAAGGTCCATCGCGGGATAACTTTCTGGGAACCCTTTGGGTGGATATCATTTACATGGTTCGAGCCCACCGAGCATTTGGGAGGGTGTTCTCAATGCGCTCGCTCAAAGTCATTGAGCAAATTCATTGCTGGCAGAAAGGTTGCCGTTGGCTCAAAAAGCGAGCAGCCCTGCCACAAAGACTTCACAAGTTGCTCCACTGTTCCTCGAAATCCCCTCCTTTCCAAAACGGTTGCCCATTCAAGGTGACACTTCCTAACTTCTACGTGAGTTGCTGTAGGATCCTTCTGAAAAAGGATAACATGGGTTTGTCTCCGAACAAACGGCTCACTCCAACATAGCGCTGTTCAACATGGAGGGGCGGATCCCGAAGCCCAGTTTTTTTCTTGCCAGTGCAAATATCATAGCCACTGGTGCAGGTCACTTTCCCAAAGAGCATGCTCAAATCGGCAAATTCGCGAGGAAGTGGTCAAATGAAACCATAAAACCGTCCACAAAGGGGCCCCTTGTTGCGTGTATCAAACCCACAGGTGGCCTTTTGGTCAAATAGATGGCCCTGGTAAATGAAACCCATCTAAACCAGTGCCATCCGTTTAAAAACAAACCAACCAAAAAAGGGTGAAGAAATCAAACCCTTTGGACCGGACTTCCAGGGCGCCTAGGAGCACCTTGGCCACGGTGGGCATCAACACCAGCATCGCCAAGGCTGGCGCGATGCCTGCGCTGGCCATGGGCTGCACCGGGGGTTCCAATTTGGTGGCTGAAATGGGGAAGCCCAAATCCGCAGGACGCCACAAGGGAAACCTAAGAATATGTGTATATATATATACTAGTATATATACATTTATACATATTATGTACAGATTCCGGGATTTATTTTTGAACAAGGGAGGGGAGTGCTTTGTTTTGGGACTGGATGTTGCACGTCAACTGGTCGCCGGGAGAGATGCTGTGAAATGGCGCGTCAGGGAAATAAACCAGCGAGGTTTCTTCATGCATCAGGTAGGTGCCTGAGCCAGGGCTGGTCAACTTACACAAAAGCTCGGAGGAAGGGCGCCGACAAAGTTGGTGAATGCCAGCAGTACCCTTAGCAACCGTGATTTAAACATGTCGCATAGTCGCCTGAGCCAACAACATATGTGTCAAAATGGAGGCGCCCGCCCAAAAATGGCGCTTTCCCTTCTTGTCTTCAACCTGCAAAGGGCGTCCTCCAGAGACACAAGGACCTGAAACCTCTGCCGATTCAAGCGAGGGAGCCGCCTCCCAGCAGTACCAGGGGGTCGGATTGGGCCACCGCCTCTGCGTCCCGCAAACCCAAGTAGATGTCACCCAGCCTAGGCATGGCTCGGCGAGTTGAGCTGAGCCACCTCTAAGGACCCTACATCATAGTGAGCTCGTCCTTTTCTTCGCCCAGGTGAGCTTGCCATAAAACGAGCGGAGTTCTGCAAAGTGAGCCCCCCCCCACCCTCTCCTTGTATCGGATACACAGTCGGCACATCCATTTGTTTTGCCGTCGCTTCCGCGTGGTGATTCTACAATTTCCAGGCATCACCAGGGGAGGGGTTTCATGGCAAAGCACAAACTACTCTGATGTTGACAAGTCCCGCAAATCGTTTGTGTGTTCAAGGTGCCACCCAAACATTGGGTTGTAGCAAATCCTGACCATGTTCATCTGGCCCGCACAAAGAGGAACATGATCATCAAGTCAATTCATTGCGGCATATCGAAAAGCGCTCCCCTGACACCGCTGGCCAAGTGGCTGGGATCCCAGGTAGGCTTGCGCTGGCACGCCGAAGCACGAGCCCAAGAGGCAGCCTCACAAGGAAGGCATCTTCCTGGGTTTTGTGCAACTGGTTGCAGGATGTTGCAAGACTTTTGGCGTGGAAGTGGGCAGGGTTTGGAAGATTGCCATTCTCTTGACAAGGGACAACGGCTTGAGCCATGGTCTTTGAACAGAGTTCTGCTGTCTGAAGCGGCTCACACTTCCAAGGTCAGTACCGTCATGAAGGCGCACTCGAGGTGGGCCAGTATGAGACATGATCCGAGAACAAACAAAAATGGTAACGGCCGCCTCATAAGGTTTGGGATGGGACCATACCCAACAAACCTGGCTCGGACACACGTGCAAACCTGTGCCCTCCCACAAAGCCCCTAGGGCCCTCAATGATACGCACTGATTCAGGGCGTCTAAATGATCCTGTTTATTTCTATTTGCCTTCGTTTGCTGCGTTCATCCTCGAAGAGCACCCTGAAAGGCAACATAGAAAAACACATGAAAGCACAAACCTTTTCACACTCGTTCCTCAAAACGTCCTTGTAAAGCTCCTTTCAAGGCTCATTGTAAAGCTCCTTACAAGGGTCCCTTTGTAGAAGGGCTCCATACATAGCCCTTTGTCGGGCTAATTATAAAGATCCGAGAAAAGCTCCTGCAAAAGGCTCTTTGTCCTTGTCCTCAAAAAAAAAGCTCGTTGCTCCTTTAAAAGTCCTTTGAAGGCTCCTCATACCATATAGGATGTTGATTAACAAACATGTTGATCAGAATTCAATTAAGAAACCAAATGTAACTAGTTTCTATTCACAATGATCATCTCAAGGGGGATGACATTCCAAAATTGAATAAGGAATGAAATTCAGAAAAGTTTCAAGTACCCTTATAATTTATATATTCATTCCTTAGGAAACGGATTCCGATTTGAGTTGAGTAGAGTTTGAGTAGAATCTAAAAACGCCAGACTTTTGATAGAAGTTCTTTTCTGAACACGTCCAATGATCTCCAGGTGGGACATCGCAATTAGAATCTCAATTCAGAAAGCAAATTTACAAAGGAGTTGAATTTCAAAAGCAACATGTTGGATCAACGTGTCAAAATTATTTGGAATTTACACATGTTTGCCCATTTTGATTTTAAGTCAAGTGTAATTTGAGTAGAGTTTAATAACGATGGAATCTAACTAGAAGTTCCACTTTCGCATGGAATCGAGTTGAATGAAACTTGCAGGAGGGACACACAATTCACAGGAATGATGTGCAAACGGTAGAGCATTGGGGGGGGGCTCAGCATACATGAAGATATACACAAATAGTATACTACTGCGAAAGCAACAACGCAAGAGTGACCTCAAATAACCCTTCCGTTGCCGCGTGGTGTGCGCTGCTCCCGTCTTGACAGCTTCACGGTGCCAGTGCTTGATGCCAAGTGTTCTTTTTTTGCTTCTTCTAGCCGAGTCTTGCGCCGTATGTTCTGGATGATGCACGTTCCAGTCAAACGTGGGCACAGATCCTGCCGGAGCCGCAAGAATCCAGCCAAGGTGCAGGTGATGTAGTGCTTGAACCTGCCGCACAAGTGGCTTAGCTCTGTCCAGTCAGTTGCGGCTGCCGAAGCCAAACAAGCAAGCAAACCAAGCACAACACAACAAAAAACAAACCAAACACACCAACCAACCAAACACACCAACCAACCAAACACACGAACCAACCAACCAACCAACCAACCAACCAACCAACCAAGCAAGCAAACAAGCAACAAAGAAACAAACACTCTCAGAGGCATATGTTGTACGATTGATTTTGGCAAACGCAACTTTGGTGCGTGGATATTCCACGTCCGTATACAATCCCACAATTCTATTCTATTGGGATTCTGCCATGGTGTATGGCATGCGGGCTTGTGGGGATGTCGCTTTGAGGGGACGGTTTGTGCACACAAACCAAACAAACCAACACAACCATCCCACCACCCATCCCGGCAACTGACCAAACAAACAAACAAACAAACAAACAAGCAAGCAAGCAAGCAAGCAAACAAACAAAGCGACAAAGCAACAACACAACAAAACCAACCGCCCAACGCACAAACAAACCAACCAACAATCAAATCACAAAGCACGCAAACCAACCAACCAACCAACCAACCAACCAACCAACCAACCAACCAACCAACCAAGCAAGCAAGCAAGCAAGCAAGCAACCAACAAGCAAACAAACAGACAAACAACTAAACACACAGACAAAGAAACACACAAACAAACACACAGTCAAGTAATCAAACAAAACAAACAAACAAACAAGCAAGCTAGCAAGCAAGCAAATAAACAAACCACAATTGCAGCAAAACAACCAACCAAGAAAGAAAGGAACAAACAAGAGAGAGCCAGAACGCAAGGAACGAAATAACGAAAGAAAGAAACACACAGAAATCAATGTATGAGCAAAGGAGCAAAGGACCAAGTAAAGACAGACAGACAGAAAGACAGAAAGAAAAACAAGCAACAAAATCAACCATCCATCCATCCATCCATCCATCCATCCATCCTTCCCACCCACCCACCCACCCACCCACCTACCCCACCCACCCACCCACCCACCCACCCACCCACCCACCCACCCACCCACCCACCCACCCACCCACCCACCCACCCACCCACCCAACCAACCAACCAACCAACCAACCAACCAACCAACCAACCAACCAACCAACCAACCAAACACACACAAACGCACAAGCGCACAAACGCACAAACGCACAACCGCACAAACACACAAACACACAAACACACAAGCACTACAGACAGACGGAAGACAGACAGCCAGGACAGGACAGACAGGACTTGTGACAGGACAGACAGGACTTGTGACAGGACTTGTGACAAGACTTGTGACAGGACTTGTGACAGGACAGACAGGACAGACAGGACAGACAGGACAGACAGGACAGACAGGACAGACAGACAGACAGACAGACTCACAGACATACAGGCAGACAAACAAACAAACAAACCAACAGGCAGACAGGCAAACAGGCAAACAAATGAGCAGATTGACAAAACAGACACACAAACACACAAACAAATGCGCCCCCCCACGCACACACACACACACACACACAACTAATACGCACTAAAAACACACACACACACACACACACACACACACACACACACACACACACACACACACACACACACACACACACACACACACACACACACACACACACACACACACACACACACACACACACACACACACACACACACACACACACACACACACACACACACACACACACACACACACACACACACACACACACACACACACACACACACACACACACACACACACACACACACACACACACACACACACACACACACAGACACACACAGACACACACAGACACACACACACACACACACACACACACACACACACACACACACACACACACACACACACACACACACACACACACACACACACACACACACACACACACACACACACACACACACACACACACACACACACACACACACACACACACACACACACACACACACACACACACACACACACACACACACACACACACACACACACACACACACACACACACACACACACACACACACACACACACACACACACACACACACCTGCTGTCACATCACCGGTTGACACAGGCCCCACGCCCCGGCAGAAACAAAATCAAAGCCTGATGTTCAAGAGGGCCAGGCCATAGTTCTTCCTGAGGCGGCGGATCAAACTGTGAATCCAACCATTTCAGGCCTAAACTCAAAACTGAACCCAGGAAGAAATTGATTTCGCATGTGTAATTTCAGGTGGGTCAACCACGGCAGAGATTGAACCAGTACGCCAAACATTTGCTGGCCCTAAGGGAACCATCAAATACAAGTCTTAGAGGGTGTGCCAGCTTGGTCACTTCATGGACGGGGGTTTCTTTGGGACCTCCAGCGCCCGAAGCTCGTCCCAAAGCACTGATCAACGGAACCATTGAGAAGCCGCGCGTCATTTGGGGGTCAGTCAAACAATTAGAGGCCTGGAAGACATGAATCCATACTGAATTTCGGAGTCGCTGTTGTAATCAGGGTCGCTTTTTCTATCAAGTTGGTTCCTTATTCAGAACCCTGTGCCTGTGTTGAGGTTCGCTTGAAAAGAAAGTGTTTTTGCCGGACACAAATCCGGGCACAACAAAATTGGGCAAACGCATCCAGGCAAAAGCATCCCAGAACACGTCCGGGCAAAAGCAGAATTCCGGTTTTGAAGTGGTTCCCAAACCATCGCATAAAAGATAACCTCTTTATAAACAAGTAAGGCCAAACAGTCATGCAAAGGGGGTACCCCACAAAAGGCTGATTCTGTTCAATCTGACTGTTTCGTGGTTCGCTTTGATGTCCAGCTTTTCTTGGGGGGTTGGGGAAACTCCCAGATCAAACCTCAGCCTTTTGCCTTCGCAGAGTGGTTCATCAGAATTGACAAGTCCAAGTCGAAACATGCAGGGCTATTATTAAAACAAAAGCACCATTATCTCTTTTATGATTTCCGAAGGTATAATTTCCGAACCACGTCATCTTGCACCATCCCGGCGCAAAACGGGGATTGAAAATGCGCGCCCTGAGACCCCGTCACCTATCCCAAAACAGTCTCAACTTCCTTTGTCAACTTTGCAAGAGTGGAAAACAGCCATCCCAGGGAAGAAACTGGACCAGAGCCCTTTGCATGTTTGGCGATGTCGGCCCCGCATTGGACCTTGCACGTCTGAATGGCGGGGGGTTGCCTTCAAAAAGCGAGGGAACCCCTCTGGAAAGTGAAGTGGAACAAACCAGTTTTAACATTTGCATCCAACAAATCCGGACCTGGGACATGTTGATAATTGAGCAAAGCAATTGCATTCGGCAAACTTATCTGGTTCTCTATCCTGGTCCTTAAAAAAAGGCCAGCCGGCTCCATCTCTGTGCCAAAGGGCACAAACGCAGGCATCAGGGCGAGCCGGAACAGCGTCCTTAGCTATCACGCTGCAAACCACTGCCAGCCAAAACCAGCCAATATCTGGCAGGTGACAATGGAACCGCCTCTGGACTGTCGAATCAGCCTATCTCAAGTGTGGAACCGTATCCGTGCGGTGTCCTAGTGTACTTGACTGTCGTGTGGCGGTGCCGCACGTGACATGCCAGCTGGAAACAACTGCAGGTCCAGCTCCCAGGGCAGAAGAAATCTGGCACTTTCAAGGGAACCAGCCGCGCGAGCAAGCGTCCACGCCAGCCAAACCTGAAATCTTTACGATGCTCGGGGAGGTGAAATGCCTCGAAGCATTGTCCTCCAAGCAAACGCAATGCCCGAATGCCACACTACAAGGGCCCCTCCAAATCTTCCAAACACACAGGGGATGGGAGTCAAAGATTGTTCTTTAGCCGGTCCTCGCGCTGTCAGTTCAGAGACTTAGCCTGAGGCAATGATGTTGACCGCGGCTGAATCAACCTGGGGTACTTCCCCCAGTGTGATCCGGATCCGCTCTTCAAGTGGCCCACGCCAAGCGAGCAGGGGTTTACTAATCCTGGGTCAACATCAGGGCCATGTTTGGAATCTTAGATCAACAACTAAACGGGTCTTCCCAAAGAAGGGGAATCTTAGAGCATGGGCGCCAATACTCCCCCACCAGCAGCAAAAAAGAAGGCTTCCAGATACAGGTGCCCTCTTGGCTGGTTGGTGCCCTCGTCCCCCCATTCGTTTGCGTTTGTGGATTGAAATGCGCAGGGAAAAGAGCCCCCCCCCTTCCGCATCTGGCTTGTCACTCTGGGCGGCAAGGCGCCCGTAGTAGATCGGGCTCTCCGACAGGATTCGGTCCACCCGCGCCACGGTGGGGTGCGCCATGATGCTCTCCTTGCCTGGAGCTCGGAAGCTTTACCAACAAAAGCCACCGAAAGATGTGTTCGGAGAATAAATCATGATAGGTCGGGGATGACAATTGCCAAAAGGAGTTGCGGTACGCCAATAAGTTATCTTCAAACCCAAAACGTCCATGGCTCAATCGTTCAGACTTTTCTCTTTTTCCGTACCCCGTAGTGGGACAGTGCAACACTGAAAGCCACCATTTGGAATGATTCAGGATAGCTTGCGCACCCAGTTCACGCCTTTCCTGCCGATTGATCAATGCGACCCAAGCGACGCTTCAGTGGCAGCAGGCTATGTGCCACCAGAAAGCACAGGATGCTGCCAAGCCTCCAAACTCTCACAAAAAAGTGACCGCAAAGCAAAATCATGTGTTTTGAGTTTCGTTCACGAATTCGATTCATCATTGAAAAGGATTGATCAATGAGTGCTACACGATTGTAGATGTTACCAGCTTTCCAAACTGGCTCGGCTTGATCATCAGGAGGTTGCTGAACCCTATACCCCGCCTGAACCAACTAAAGGCGGCCTAGCAACGGAAGGACTTAAACCTACTACATAACACAACTTACCAATACTTGGCCCAAATTGTAGTTGCCCTTCTTGGTTGCTCTGCACCGAAAACCGCTTGGAACAAAGATGTTGGCTTCCGTCAAAAAACACATCACACTAAATGGCGAGCTGGCAGCGGATATCCATTTTTTGTGGCTTCCTTGGGCTTCTCAACAAACACATGGAATATTCAGCGCTTCTGAGCCAGCTCGAGCTCAAGTTCAGGCAAGCTGCGTCTTGGCAACCAGCAGCATGCCTCAGTCGATCTTTAAAGGTGCGTCTTTCAAACAGGACCTGGAATTTCCGGGGACATCTGAGTCACAAAGGAATCCATACACATAATACATGTATATATATATATACATTACAGTATGTACATACCCGAGATCAATGGTGAGGAATCACAACAATGGCTGATTTGTGTCTGATCTGCAACGAGTTCCCCAACTGGCGTTCGCAAGAAATATGGAAGGGCATGCTAGTGCAGTCTGCGGCCCCTGGAAAATGCTCGAAGACTACCGGGAAGGCTTCCTGAACTGCCGGAAGACTACGAGGAGACTACCAGAAGACTGCCACCAAACATCGGAAAACTACACGAAGAACTATCTAGGTCCTCCAGTAGAGAGGTTAGAATAAGGGTACCCTTAATTCTGTCTATTTCTAGAGGGGAACCCTCCCCCAAAAAGGGTGAAAGGGCACTACTGGGGGACCTAGCTATGGAAAGCCTACGGGAAGACTACTGCAAGACTACCAGAAGCCTCTGGAATTGTACACGACATGATGCGAGGCAGGAAGGCTGCAGTGCAGTCTGTGGGAAGAAACGAAAAATGCCAACTGAAGACTCTGCAAACCGAAACGAACCTAAGAAATCTGCATTCTTCTACATTGCAGCTAGGGACTCTTTAACTTGCAGCCTGCGAAAGCAAAAACAAAACCACTCACGAAAAAGCAAAAGCACTCACAAAAAAGGAGCCAGGAAAGGGGAATTGCCGTTACGTGTTGGACAAGTCCAACCGAAAGAAGATATAAGGACCCTCGATTCGTTACTGGCACGTTCCCTTGGCTCTTCTACTGACTCTTGCAAGCAGGTGTCACATCGCCGTCTGGAATCCATACACCCAGGAGGCGCCCAAATCCACCAGGGAGAAGGGGATGCCAGAGACAGTGATTGCCTGAGCCAGCAGCTTTCTGGCGTGAACGTAGGTTTGTCTCCGAAAACACCAGGTTTCACAGCCCAACGAGGGAAGTAACAAAATGCGGCGTGGGATTTCCCGTTGGCTCCCCGCTTCAAACAACGTAAAAAGAGGAAATAGACTCCGAAAGCCGTCAAGTTTAGCAATCATATCGTTTTGGGGACCCGCATTGTCGAGGGTATATCTGCTAATTGCAGGGGACTAGTCTAGTTTGGCCATCATACGGTTGAGTCCCCAAGAGCAAATAGTCTGAATGAACTGGTTACTAAGACCCAACCAACTCACCAACCTCTCAACGGCTTGCACGCAAGCAAATAGCGAGTGAGGCACTCTCACCTCTTCATGAATTGTCCGAGCCTGGCCAGTGCAGAAGCTGTTGGTTGCGTCCGAGCGCAGAACCAAGTCCGAACAAAGTGTCGCCCAGCTGAGGGACAAAACATCAAACAGCAACATCGCGCATACATAATCACATAATGGACACCTGTAAACACACACATAAGTATTTATACATATATGTATACATACGTATGGGCATACATTTATATGTGTGCAAGTACGTGCTTATCTAAATCCACATTTCTACAGCGAATTTGTTCAACTGAATCGGAATCTTTCTCGGACATAATCGTAGGTCCAGAAACATCGGCACAAAACGCTCATATTTTTCCTCTAGGCCCGGCACTGTTGAGAGCACGGCGTGCAAAGCCTCGGCTCGGCAAAGGGTATGTCAATTCTCCCTTTTCGCAGTTGTGGGTCGGGATCATCAACCTGTTGGATGGTTCGAAGGAAGGGAAGAGACCAACCATCTGGACGGGTCCCTTTCTGACACATACGGGTTCCGGACTGAGCCGCTGGTCTTTCAGCCGACCGAAGCACTGAAGCACTTGGAAGACCACACTTTAGCACTCGCGCGAAAGGCTCTCGTGAAGCTACCATCCCGCATCACGGAGTCTGGGAATACTACGAATTCCTTTCATGAATCAAAAAAAAAGTTTGTCCCGAGAACAACTTGATCCCATTTCTCGAGTTTCAAGTAACCCTATTTGCCCAGTGACTAGAAGAACAAGGGAACGCTTGTTGGAGTTAACCATTTGCACAGGGGAGTCCACCAAGCAAAGCGGCAAACGGATGCGCTCCCCTTACACCAGGAAGCCATGCCCAGGAGCGGGTTGGCTCGCATGAAGAACCTAAAACTCGGGGCGACAGCAACCGCCGGCGACAGCTTTCTTCTCTTCTGGGTGTCTTTGGGTGTGTCTTTTGGTCAGTTTGGTTCTCATTTTGTCCCTGGTTCCAGGAAAAAGCACAGCCCCCCCCAACAACTGAGGTGTCCAAGGCCGGGTGTCCCTGGAAGATGAGGCTCTTGAAGGGGCCTGTCGTGACCGCACATCCCAAACACGGGTTTCAACATGGCCTCCGCGAGGCTATGCCGGTGAGGGCTGGAAGAGCCTACGTCTAATGTGTCATAGGACCTCTTCAACCTCTTTGCTTGACACCTTCTTTGCAGAGGGGCCCCGTCAGACATTTCAAGGTGCTCAGACTAACTAAAGGTGCTGCTGTGCCAGACCTCCCACCATCTATCATAGCCCGGGCCTCCGAGAATCTTTATTTGGAGCCCCCAAAACCTAGATAGAACCCTGCCCGTTGCCTGCAGCACTTTCACCCATGCTTCCCTTCATCAGTATCATCCTGATGCAAACGACGCTTCTCAAGATGCAATCTAGTGAGAACATAAACCTCCCAGTTGCCAAATAAAGTTCCAACACTCTAACACTACCAGGAATTCTGAGGAACCTAGAAAAAGCAATCAAAAGCTACACAGAGCAAAACAAAGCAAACCATCCCCCCGCCAACAAAAACATCTCCCAAATTCACGAGAATTCTAGGTCTGGCACTTTCTTCTAGTCAGAGCCTCCTGAGTTCTTGCGAGAACCCTCCTGAGTTCAGGGAAGAAGCCCCAAAGTTCTACTTAGAACCCGCCTTTGTCTAGCAAGACATGTGGCCCAAAGCCATTTCAAAAGGGGAACCTAAAGGAGCTACTGCTCAAACGACGACAGCTTGAAATCCAAACGCCAGCAACAATGACTTGGAATCTGTTTTCAAGGGGCTGAAGCAGCTTAATAGCTTACAACCCCTGAAAAGGAAACGCCTATACAGCAGCCATTGCTTGCCAACCCCGAGAAACGTAGAAGCGCTGATGTTTCAACAAATGCGACTTAAAGCCCTGTTAATTGCAGGGAACACCCGACAAGGATCGTGTTCGGCCTTGAAAACAATGGTTTAGCACATGCTTGCACCCTTTGAAGCACAAGCTCGAAGAAGCTGTTACTGAAGCAACCGTGATTCAAACAGCTAACAGCTCAAACACAACACAAACACACAACACAAAACAGGAGTTCAGAGGGAGCTGACGTTCAGCCTTGACATGTCTGTCGACTGCTGAAAGGGCATGCCATCCGAGTTCGAGCCGCGCCATGTGCACGGCCCGCTCCTTCAGCTGGGGGTTGGAACTGATGGCCATGCCTCGCCCGCCGAGGCTTCGTGAAAGCAACATCTGGGGCCAGGGGTCGCAGGTTGAGTTGGGTTGAACTCCGGCGAACATCAAACAAGAAGAACGATCCAAACCCTTTTATAGTCCTCCTGGGGAAACCAAATACAAGTATGGGCTTCATAGCGCCTAGTTTTAGGCGACACAATGGAGTAGCGCGATGCTACTCAAACAGTATAAGACCTGGCCGGCCCATCAAAGTTGGGGCCCCCCAGGTCCCACCGGTACTGCTCACGCCGTGCTGTGGAGACCACAACAAGTTTCGCTATAGCAACTAGTTATGCTGACACAGGATTCAAGTAGAACCAGGCGGATTAATTGGGGATCTTATTTCCAGGAATCCTTTTGTTCAAAATTCGCCGGACACCCGTGGAATCGGAGGTGGCGGTTGGGCAAAAACAGCCTGACGAGTGAGAAGAAAAGGGGCCCAATACGCGGCCACAGGTGTACTGTGAAGGGACAAGTGCAATCATCGCCGCAAACTACAGCGCCAACACATGGGCAACTTTGTACTTGCGTGGGGCGTTCCACGGGCTCCGTTGAAGTGACATCCTCAAATTTTCCCTCCGCACAGCGGTTTTAAGGAGAAGCCACCCGCTCTACCCAGCTTCTATCTGGCTGATTCTCCTTTTCCAAGCCACCAACACCAAGCCCCAAAAAACATGATGCTCACGCCTCATTTAAGGGAAGGCTGTTTCGCTACTTTCAAGCTTACTTCTCCTGATTTACACTTATTTGCCCGAATGTAGGATTTGCCTTTCAGGGGGTCTGCCTCCAGACCAAACCAACAAAACAAACATATGATGGTGGAGCCTCATTCAAAGCTCATTTAGTCTTGATTTGCCCTGAATGTGAGGATTGGCCCCGAATTTGGGCTTACCCTTCAGGTTAGGGTCCCTTGATGAACCTTTGCCTTAAGCAAAAAGCTGCTGGTGGGAACCTAGGGTTCTGGATCCCCTGGTTGACCAAAAAGCCTTTCGTTGTAAGAGGAACCACCGCTCGACTCCGACGAGGAACCCGGGCCTATGGCCATGAAGCCTCCAAAGGTCGCTACGGCCACCGCTTTGTCCTCCCGACTTGGCCCAGCCCAGCACGGCATGGAACAGCGCGGGTTCGGCTGAGTTAAGATGGCCACCCTGAAACCAGCTTGGAAAGCATGCAACCAGATACCGTGACCTATTGTACTTGAGAAGTATGCACCCACTTGTCAAGCTCGGGGTTGGGGGTAGTGGTTTGGGGGTAGTGAAAGCCCTGTTAGATCCAAAGGTTCCCTGGCCACGCGCTTTTTGCCTAAAGGCCAACTACATGATGTCAGCATGAAACATGTTCGGCCAGAATTAGCAGGGAGATGTATGCCCTGGATGTCGCTTTCATTCTTTTTTTGCTCATTGCCGCATGCAAGCGTGCCCAAGTTGGTTTGACACTACCTTCGGAACCCTGTTTGGGCCAATCCGCGTCTGGGAAATGTCGTACCTCAGCTGATGCGTAGCGTGCAGCATCGTTTTCCCAAACTGCCGTCCATCCCGCATCCTGGGCTATTCGGCGGCATTCCAAAACACTTCCAACTTAATAGCAATTTCATGTGAAGCTCAACTTTTGTGCTTGCGCATTCAATCGGCTTCCTGCCTTCCTCGGTTGCAAAGCGCAAGTTGCCTTGACCGACTCTCCCACATCTCCAAGCAATGCCTTCATCCAGAATGAAAGCAAAGGCCAGCCGTCAAGCAGAAGGTGAAGATTGGGAGACCGCATGGCAGTCCTTCAGCTTCCCCATCCTGGCGGAGCACGTGAGCAAAGCAAGCCTAACAGCTTCCCAGTTTTGACCGGTGCATCTTGGCTTGGAAAATGCCTTGAGTTGAGGCCGCCATAGCGAGATCCCTCAACCACTCGTCTGAAACATTTGGTGTTGGGATTGTGCGTCAAATGAGCAGCTATCTCGCTGAGCTGCCAAAACATGAAAAGCTGACGTGGTTGCTTCTCATGGTCCTGATGCGGATGTGCAAAATCTACTTTCTGCACTTGTGTTTGAAAAGGATGCATGCCTTAACTTTTTGCACACGGCAGCACATGGCATGCTGCCTTCTGATGACAACGACAAAGTTGCTGCACGCTTTATAGAATGGGCCATTGAGAACACTGTCCAAGTTTGCAGCACGCCTTTGCGAACTACGGTTGTGGTCCAACAGCATCTCTTAGTACGAGTGAAGGCACTGTGTCCATCACTTGGCAATGCCAGCTTTGAACAAATAAAGATCTTTTCAAACCACGGGAACTCCTAGCAAGTTGCTTAAATACAACAAAACACTATATCTGCCAGTCTGAATCTCGATATGACGCCCATGCTGTAAACTCTTGAAACAATGATCAACCTTGAGTTTCTAACTGGGCTCTGGCCATTTGCTTCAACCCTTTGTAGATCTCAACATGTCAGAGCACTTTCCGCTACACCTCCATTTAAGGTTGCTAGGGTTCTCCAATCTAATCTTCTGCCTTTGCAATGGGGAAGGGTTTCAATGCCCGTGTGAGCTTCGACGTGTCGTTGCGTGCTTGACTCGGAATATGCATATATATAATATATGATCCTTACCTCTACCAATCGTGGAAGTGGACAGAGGGCCGTTTTAAGATCATTGTAGTTTCTGAAGCCCTTCTAAGTCAGCTGCCATTATTATTAGAGGATGGGGATTCAGCCGACAAATCAACTTGCAAAAGGCATGTGTTGGGCAAAATGCGCTTGTTGTCCTGTGTGTCCAGCACTGTTTGGGCGAGAAAAGGAGGGGGGGACCTAAATCCAGAAAAAGCAGATTCACAAACTGCGACAAGGCCTACTGTTCGTCTGAACAGTAGGCCACCTCATGGCTAGCTTCATGTCTGTGTTTGACGATCCACCCGTGAAGAAGCGCCCCTTTTGACATCACCGGCCCAAAGAGTGAGTGATTCTTGAAACCGCCAACAGGCAAAATAGAGAACCCTGTTCCATGCACATCCCATCTTCCCTACTGTTCGCAGGCAATCCATGCACATAGCTTTGGCATAGAAGCAACACCCAATTGAGCCAACCGCATGTTAAGCTCTTTGAACAAACTCCTTCTCCGAAGCCTAAGGGGCCAAACCAATCTCACACCCAAGCTCCTGGCCTGGCGCGAAGGAATCCAAGGCGCGGGTGTGGGCCGAGCTGTTTTCGGACTAGGTGATGGGAGGTGGACCAACTTTTTGTTTAACGGGTCTTCCTAAAAGAGTGCGTGATAATAGTTGGGGTGGCCAAAAGGTTGCATGTGTTGAGCCTCGGCTCAGAAAGTCTTGGCGAGTGGTCATGTGCGGCTTCCGCAGTTGTTGCCAGTACGCGTCTGCTTGCAACTCCTTGCTTGATCTGAAATGGCGGGATGCTTGCGCCAAACTTCACTGGGTCCATAGGACTGACATAGCTCGTCCAACGGCAACTGTTGAGGCCTCACACTTTTCACTTGACAAGACCCAACTTTATGTAGCTGCGCCTCTGTTAGACAGATCGGGTGTAATCATCCCTGGCGATTCAAAGGTACCAGGCCGTTCGGCATACCGAGGGGAGTCCGCCCTGAAAAAAGCTGAGGAAAAAAGCGATCCATCCGCTCACAAGGGTTGCCCTGCTGAAGTTCAACATGGAACCGCAACAGCAAAACATTTTTCCAACTTCCAGCAGAGTTTCCTTTGTTGGTGGACCCCTTTGTGAGATTCCGTGTTCATGGCGAGTGTTCCAACACCACTCTGCCTCAGGCCAACTTCAAGAGTCCCGAGCCCCCGGTCAACCGCTTGCTGACTTCGTTCCGAGTGCACGCACCCAGCTTGCTCGAGGGAATGACTCCATGGAATCCATCACCACCTCATCGCATGCGTGCGCCGATGGCTTTTCAGTGTTGGCTGCAAGTGCCTGCAGGGGTGTTTTTCCTTTGATGGTAAGCCTCTCCAAGCACCATGCTCTCTAATTCACATTTGCCAGACACCACGGGACATCTGCCGGAGTTTGCTTGAAGGTCTACCGACCTTCTTTCTGTCCGCCTCACCGTATCGTCCATTAAAACCCGACATCAACCAAACATTCCGGTGCCATGTCTACCGAAACCCCCCAACTCTGCTGGAACGTGGCGGCGCCCCCCAATTCGAGGGCCCAGCTCGCAAGCCGTCTTTCTGCAGCAGCTTGTCTCGTGCCCCATCGGACCTTAAACTCTCGAGTTGCGGGGCCTGCCCAGTTTACTGCGGCGCACATCCCCAACCTGCCAGGGGGGTGAGTTCAGATCGGACGTGTGAACCATTTTGACCTGGTGGCCAATTGCCCAACAGCTCAGACAAATTCCTTTGCCTCTTCATCGCGCAAGCCTTGTGAAGCTGAGCTTCCATCTGCATTTACAGTATTCAAGGCCAATTAACATTGAATCTGACAGGGGGTCCCTTCAAAAGGAAAATGGTCTTGGACCCTTCTGTCATTGGTGGAGGGTAATTCCACATCCGGACCTACATCATGGTGACCTTGCCATCATTTTTCTGCTTCCATGGGGGCATAGCCAGGGCCTCGGCTCCGTGATCATCCGGCAAATGAAGCCGCAGCCTTCCTGGAAGGCCGTCTCCCGTTTCAGGTACCCCCTCCCTTCAGGAAAGGAATGGAGTGGCAACCCAGCAAAGTTGTTTCCCCATCAGGCAGCCAAGCATGATGTCCATTTTTCTGCATTTTAACAGCCGCATTTAGAGGAAAAACACCCTAAAACCCAAGACGTGCCCATATTCTTGCCAGTTGCTCGTTTCCTGAGAAGGTTGGCTGCAACAAGCCCAAACTCGCCCGAACTGCCAAGCGAAACCCAAACAAAAGGGCGGACAGGGCAGGGAATCTATCCTTGGTCAAACAAATCAGGACATCTTTCGCGTCGGAAGGATCCCCTCACAAAACTCAAGCTTGAGCAGAGAGGAGCCACAACTCAGCCAACTGGAGGCATTCTTTGGGGACCCCTGGTAGCCATCAAGATGCTCCATTCCGCAGGGCACGGATCCCTTCCGTGCGGCGCCCGACTTGCAACTGCAAGCCCTGCCTGTAGCACCCACTCCGCCTGCGCAAGTCAATCGGCATGGTTACTTGTTTCAACCCAAATTTGTATCAGGGATCAGTCAGAAGCTTGATAAAGGGGAGCTCATTTTGCCAGGTCAGCTGGCAGCAACAACAAGGCAGGCAGGACCTAAGGTGTCTCATGTTGCTCAGTGCATTCAGGACGGCGTTGCGCCAACTAGTTGTAAGGCTGTTCCCCGCTGTCGGGGCGGTCTAAACATGCAAATCTGCATACATCCTATTGCCAATCACACACACACACGTAGATTGACACTTGCGGAGCGGCCGGTGCTTTTGTTGTATGCTCATAGCAAGTTGTTTGCCAGCCATCTTCAGCAGGTTGGAAATGCGTAGGCCATCAAAAACTTAAACGGAATGGCAACCTGCAACAGAGTCCTGTGAGTGGCTGGCTATGCTTGCCAGTCAACTATCATACTTGTTCCTAAGACATGCTCGGTGTTCAGCGCTGCCAGGATGTTGGTTTGTTCCACCATCATATTTAAGTAAAGGACAACAATGTAAAAAATGCTACAAACCGTTGACCCAACAAATGAACTGCGATGTTTCCGCAGCATCCCCAAGGTCGGATTGGTCGGATTCTGCTCATTTTGTGGGGAGGAATGTCCAAATTCTTTCACACTTGAATTACACAATGACCGCTCAGGTAGACTCTTCCTACACACCTCTTATCAGAGGTCAACCAAAGGGAAAACCACCCATGCTCGGGCCCCCTTAACGCGGCCAATAGCTTCTCTGTCCGACTGACCGTGCCTGCGCATTCATGCGCATGGAATCCAGGACTGCCTGGTGCAAGCGACCCATCCCATGCGATCCATCCAACCCATCTCGCCTGTGACTCCGGCTTCAGGCAAAGTGCAAATTGATTGGAACCTACCAGAAACCAGCAAAAAGTCAAGCTAGTAATACTTAATTTTCACAGCGGATTGATCCGGAGGACCGTGCTCGGGAGTGTTGCCCTTTCACTGTGGACTCCTTAACTGCGAAATAGCCACTATAAGACTGGCACGCGGGTGGTTGTTGAAGCTTGCACATGTTGCGTAAGATTCTCTGCAGCCATCGAAGAGCCGGGACTTATGTTAAGCACAAAATAAACACACAGCTGGTGAGAAGAAAGGAGTCTACAGCTCGAAGCAAGCTTTGTGGCACACGTACTTTCCTCACCAGGTGGCTGTCTGAAACAAAATCCTATTTACGTTATGCCCTTCTGGTGCTTTTTGATTTTGCAGGACAGGACAATCATGCTTGCCTCAAACGTAGTTGAGGGAACACATAAGCAGCATAAAACTTGATTCGGGGCCCATTGGTGGACATCATTAACATTGGGATGTATGTGCAGTGCGCGCCAAACATTTCCGACGGTGTTCCGGTTAAACCATCATCCGCATGTTGTGCAACTACTGGCCATGATAAAGAATCAAGAATGAAGGGCCTAAAAGTAGGGTAACTCGCTCGATTGATCAGCGTGGCCCCACAGCAACATGATTATCTTGAGGCCGCAAGCTATGATTTTCAACCTACATGGATGTTCACCAACGCAAGCGGCCAACAGGGCTCACAGAATAGCAAGCCTCTAGATCTCTTTCTGGGGTCGAGGCTTGTACAGGCAATGGTCACGGTTTCAGTGAGCTGCTTATCACAAAGACGCTACTTCCACACATAGATGAGTCGTATGTACCTTTCTGTTTGTATTTTTACCAGTCATGACCATGCCTCTCCCAACCAACAGGAGGACAAAATCACACTGCAAGCAATTCGTGGGATTTGTATTAAACATGCTTCGCGCCTCCATAGCGTTGGTTTCCAGCAGCGTGTCGGCACCGTCAGGCATCTCCGCCTCTCAAAGTCGACGACAATCCCGGGCGACAGGCCCCGGAGTCGAGAGCCTAGACGCCTAGAGTCAAGCCAGGCACGCCTGGTGTACGTAAGACATCTGCAAGCCAATTCCCTGTGAGTGCTCAGGTTCTGGGCATGCTCCGCATCCCGCACCTTTACTTACTTCAACTGCAAAAGCTCTGGAATTTCCACGCAATTTTAGAATATGTTTCACCCTGCCACCTTGTGCAAGAATTCCTTAACTGCAATACCTCAGCTTTGGACAATATACAATTGGTAGAATCGGACGAAGAAGACTCAGGAAGGCAGAATAAACAAGTTGGAAAGGATGTGTGCAGACTGAAGTGTGTTCCTTAAGCTAATTTCTGCAAATTTACCTCGCAATGCCTGGTTAATAGAATTATCTACTTCGTTCCTTGGCTCGCCCACTGCAAATGCTCCAGATTGACGACTCAACGACTTGATGCTGTCTCCCACGAGCACATCTTCCTGACACACTCTGTATATAGTTTCTCGGGTGGCCATCTCAGCGTCTGAGTTAAGCAGCCGCAATCTTAGCATGGTTCTTGACAAGGGCCGCTTGTTTCTGAGTCCGGTCCCAATTTCGAGAACATTAGTGAATCGCTCCCCCTACTAACAACTCCACTCGCAGTAATGCAGGTATTTTCAGGCCACAACGCAAAAAAAAAAAAACTTTGCCGTGGTACTTGTAATTCACCCAATGCGAAGCCAATACTAAACTCCTGACAGCAAAGGTTAGGGCGGTACTTTCAGCACTTTCCTTCTTTTGAGCTCTAAGCCCCAGTGATATGATTTCGCCGTTTGAGTCTGAATCCACCAAAGTGCCTTCTCATGTAAACTCCTTACCCGGCAAATTCTGAGTATGACGGTTTTTGCGCACGGCAACGGCGGACCTCTTTGGACAAGGACTGTGGATTTTTGTCCTGGGACTCCCTGAACTTGAATGATATTTGATGACTTGGCGGGTAGGCCGGGTGCGTTTCATATGGTTTGATTTGCCTGCGAAGCATTCACTTCGCTTTCAAAGCCTAGCTTTCCAAGTGCCCAAACATGTCCCATCCATTCCTTGAAGGGATTCGTTTGATATGGATGTGTCCACCGTTGGACCAGCCACGGTAAGACAGGATGTTATTTTCGCAGGCAGATGTTGAAGGGAACCATCCAGAAAAGAGGACAAGATTGGGTGAATCCTACGGAGAGTGAAAACCGGAGGACCTGGACCATCGACCGGGCTTCCACTTTGAATCGGTCGAATCCGGTGACTTTGGGTCTTAGGTTCACTTCGATGAAGAACCATGAAGCAACCGTTGGGTCGCCCGGCAATGTTGCGAAGCGTTTCGCAGCACTCTGCCTGCAGCCTCAGGCCGAGCGCTCGTTTGCTGTGGCTTTCTTTCCCCAGACGGCGACTCGCTTGAAATCGGCCCAAAAGACTTGACTTCGGATTGCCAATCCGCGGATTCATCGGGCTTCTTGTGCCGGTGGAAGAATCATGACTCTGGCAGGCTGATTAGCTGGATTGACCCACCATGGTCATTGTGCAAAACGATCGATGTGACGAGCCATGGTCCCAACAGGCAAGATCAGCCATGCCGACATGCAAAAGGAATCGCGTTTGGCTGAATCGTGAACATGTTCCGGGGCAACTGCATCCAAGCTTTACATCTCACTGCCGAGTGACTTCAGACAGGAAAGCTGACGTCTCTGCAATTTAGCTCCGCCTTGCAGACGCAAAGTCTTTCATGCACATCAACCCCGCAACTGTCTCCTCCAACTCCCGGAAAGCAGACGCACAAGCTTCTTGGATCCCCTATTGAAGCTGCCTTCCCAGGCTTTTCTTGTGTCAGCAGGTTGGGATTGGAGTAAGACAGAATCCGTCGCGCTGGGATGGACATAGTTCAGCCGCCCCTAATCCCAATCCGTATCCCAAAGTGGGAGACCACGACAAGGGGTTCCCCAATGCATCTGACATGAGGAGTAACGAACCTGAAAGCGGACCGTTCCGGTCGCCCCAGTTGCGCGTTCCGGCTTAAGCTCCAGGCCGCTCGTTCTTGGGATATCGCGCCATCGCGGCAAGGACGCCCTGCACGGCAGGCTGTGTGGAGGGCCTGACTTCCTTCTTGGAACTTGGAGCTTTTGGCGATTTTGCGCCAGAAATCCTGATCCATAAATTAGACACGGGGCCAATACGAATCACTGCTACTTTAGAGACGTGTGGGAACAGAATGCTGGACTTGGCGAGTGGCACCAGGCAAAGTACTGGGCAAGGATTGGCCAGGGTCCGGATTCCTGGGAACAGCTGACTCGTTGGGAGCCAAGAGGTGATGCCTAAGCGGGGCTTCTTGAAGAGTGCATGTCACCTAAAAACCGTCTGCTTTACAAGGTCCTGTAAATCATCTAGATATTATTGTTCGACTGGCTCAGATGTATCCGCCAAGCGACCCTGCGACCCTGCCAAACCCCCCACAAGGCTTCAAGCCGCAAGGGGCCGCAAGGGGCCGCAAGGGGCCGCACGGGACATCTTTCGACCTCTTCCTTTTCGCTAGACGCGCGTTTCCAAGCAAACGGCCATACCCTGACCATTTGCAAACATTGGTGGAGCAATCTATTTGATCCTTGGCCCAACCTCAAGGTACACCATTCTTGGCAGACTCTGTTTACTTCGTCAACTTCAACGCAGGAAACCGCTCCAACAGCCACAGAACGCGCGCAGGCGTCTCTCGCCTGGAGGCCGCCGCACTTCATCACCTTTGCTTGTCCATAAACACCACCCCGCAAGCACCAAGTAGGGTACCCTCAACGAAAAGATGCAGCGCACCGTTCTTTTTTGGGCCACCCCAACAAACATGGCCCGGTGCGCTGAAACCAGCTCCTTCGAGAAAAAAAAGAGAAAGGGGGAGAACAAAAAACACCAGGTGTTCAAAAGGTATCAAAGGGGCACAACCGGGCACAAAAGCATGTCTGGTGGGAGAGTGTTAAACGCACAAATGTCAAGGTGTCATGTTCTCTCCCCGTTGGTCGCCTGACCTTCTGCTTAAATTAAGGTTGGTGTCAGCACACGAGATCACGTCAGATTGTCGACTTCGCCGCTTGGCCTATCGAGAGTGCCACCTGAACAATAAAAGAAATCAAACAAACATGCAAAACGTTCTCCTTCCGGGGGAGGGCGCATTGCCGGAGGGTCGTCTCAAAAACGTACAACGGCCAAACCGGGCAAAACTCAATACACGCGCCTTAGAATGTTGACCCCGGATTTTCTGTATCAACTTGGTGCACCAAAAGGAGTTTCCCCAAGAGTGCAGGATTCTCGCTGCATTCAGCCACAACCTTCCTAGTCCTGGGTTCCCATCATGGCAAAGGTAGCCCTCGTGGCTCAATCAAAAGCAACCTGCCGTTGCAAGGAGGGCTTCGTTCCTCACAAGTTAGAGGCCATAAAAATGGACTGTGATAGGTACCGGTACCGTTGGGAATAAGACACAAAGTAGATTTAGGATGATTGAGGGGGTTGTCGAAATCACTCGCATTTTTGGTACTCCGTAAAGGCGGCAAAGGTGGAGTTCCAAGCAGGAGCTTCCTCTTTCGACTCATTTGCATGGGTGTATGTAGGGTCGCATTGAGCCCTTTGGTCGGTGGACGAGACCCAAACAGGCCACTTCTCATGTCTTCAGCGAATATTGCATGCAAGTGCACGAAGTACCATTTCTTTGCAAAGCTGAAACCAAAACGGATTGTTGCCTACTTCGGCCTAACTTCCAGCTTTGCCCGCGTGCAGCGTGGGCTCTGTATGGCTCTGCCTGAGGCAGTTGCGATGTTGGGATACCGTGTGGCGCCGAAGGACATGGCGAAGGTAAAAGCATACTGCACCTGGCGATTCGGTTGGTCGAGGGAAATGGGCACCCCGAGCTTCCCAGCCACAAGCCAATGCAGTCTTCGAACGTGGTATGGATCCTGACCGAAGCAGCCTTCCCAAAGCATATAAGGACCCATGAAAGCGTTTACACCTACAAATTAGGTGGAAGGTTTTGGAACACAACTGTTTGGAAAGGAAGGCTGCCTCATGTCATCTCTAATATGATATTCACTAACCCAAGCCATTGTGGAGGGAAAAGGGCGAGGCCTCCCACGAGCTATACAGTTAGCAATGTTCCTTACTTGTTCAGCATTCTACAGGAATTGCTAACAAAGGTTCAAAGTGGCCTAGGGACTTGCAAATGTTAGATTTCTTTTCCTGGCCAACCCATAGGGGGGTTCAGCCCATTTTGAATGTTGAGCCCGCTCAACTTGCAAGCTGGGTGGATGAGAGGCACGAAAAGTGAAAAGTTCCCCAAAAAGTGACTTCAGGGCTCTTCATTTCATGGGGGTATGGGTCAAAATGAAACCACCAGAACACCACAGGTTTTCAATGTGTCCACTTGCCAGGGTTCCGTTTGGGGCACCGATTTTTGACAGCCATGGGTTCCCAGTTCAAGCCGACCCGATTGACGGCTCACCTCTTCGTCCGCTAGGTGCTGCGCAGCCGCCTTGACCGCATTGGTGTAAGCCCTCAGCGATGACATCGCGCGAGTCGGTGGGTCGGTCGGTCGGCGCCCACTTTTCTGATGGCAACTTTAAGTTTTCCCCAGCGACCGGTCCAGGGTCTTAGCCACATGGCTGGTGGGTTTGTGGAGGCTTCCGAGCAGTTTCCGAGTAATTCTTGATCCATTTCCCGGGTTCTTTTGGGCACCCAGCGTTTGGTGGAAGTTGTGCAAATAAATGCAAAGCACAAGTGGTTTTAGTTGATGACCTGATTAGTTGAATGGGGACCTTTTCACACGGCAGGTTCTCCAAAGTGGCATTGTCTTGAAATCGGCAAGAATGGGTTGCCTGTTCTCCATGGCTGGTCCCATGCCCTCTGAATGTCAACTTTCAAACTGCAACAGTCGAAGGCCCAGCTGAAGCCCTTGCTGAGCCTTCTCATTTGTTAAATTCCAGCCTCATGTTTTTCTTAGACATGTGAAATTCATACGCACAACATCTGCATTTGCGACCGTCCAGAACACACCACCTCAACATAACGGACCAGAGTTTATTCGAACCATCACAACTTGCTTCTGCAAAGTGTGAATCACTTCGAGATTGCAACACCTCACCCATGGGGCAGCTGGTCCAGTTGATGCATGCAGCCAGCAGGATTTAACTTTTGTCAGTAAATATCAACTTCGTCAAGTAGTTCAAGCTGTCATTGTGAGCATTCCTATTTTGAGACCCTGTGCGTATGTTCTTGCTTTGTAGCTCAGCGGATGCGCAACGTTGATCCCTTTGGATGCCAGGATCCTTGAGATAGTTGCGACTGAGTGGAGAATGCGTCCAGAACGATACGGACTGTCCCTATATGCCATCCACTATTGTGTGTGTGCAAGACACGGCTCACTTTCAGCTCCATCATCAATGTTAACATCGGATTAAAAATACCACTAGGAGGAAGCGGCCACATGTGACGCCGCGTTCGGCAGAACCATTCTCTCGCTCAACGCACCAATTGAGCTCAATTCCGGCCCCATTAAGACTTTGTCTACGTTAATTGGATGTCTCAATCCCGCAGAGCGGGATATAGGGAGCCCTAGGTTTCCTCGTGATTCCTGCGCCTTCAGCTTGACTACCCAGGGATCCCAACCAAACATGCTGCATTTGCAGCCCCCACCACTAGATCGTCTCCTCCAACCTTAACACTTGAACTCTTACAATCTCTTTTCAAGTGGTCATCCCAGGGATCCGTAAAAAGATTGGCACAAGTGTAAGACAAAGTTGCTCCGAAGACATCTCCAAGAAACAGAGTAGGTCCCTAGACAAGGACAACAATAGGACCGAATACAATTTTTGTGCTGTGGTTCGGTCATTGTTTGAGGTTCGGAGGGATGCAAAGAACCACGGCTATGCACAAAGACTATGCAAGAGCAAAACCAACCTACCCAAACCTTGACAAACATCTGCACTAATATAACTTGAGAAACCTGCACGCTGGGATTCCTTGAAGAGGACCATAATGAGGGGGCAACCTCGTTTCACCTCAAATATTGCTGGGCTAAAGAACGGCCAAGTTTACCGGGCAAACTGCTAGGACCCCAGCACCACCTCCCGCGCGTAGAGAGGGTCTTCCAGCATCTGCAGAGCAAAGAAGCAACGAATGAAACACCAAAGCCACAAAACCACACAACACGCAACAAGACAATAACACATGATGCAACAACACAAAAGGAACAATAACAGAATACCACAAATTAGATTTCAGACTAAACATAAAATCAAACAGAACAACAACAAGAAGAACATGGCACGTACATAAACGATCACAAATGACACAAGGCAAGCTGAAACATTAAAACAGCAGAACAAGTGCAGTCAGGCAACAAAACCCACACACACACACTGCGCAACACAGTGTGCAGTGCACAAAATAGACATGACAAACAAAACACGACGCGCTACAACATCACATGCACGAGCCGCTGCCAACCAAAACAAACGACAACATTGCTCACCACTCTGTCAACACTGACACCGGCAGAACTGCTGAAGACATTGCACTATTTCCCAGTGTAGCACTTTCAAGGGTCAGGTCTCCGACACGATGAACAGGGATGTGGCAACACTAGCCTGTGGATGTTATCAACGGAATACGCGGTTGCCTGGAATGACCCTTCAATGACAGAGTACAAACCAAGACGTCAAGGCGAGAGGAAACAACGAAAGCCCAAAGGTCTGGATTGGTCGCCTCTTCTTCGCGAATTGACAGCAGCTCAGAACCGCGGAGGTGCAAATTTAGGCATCTCAGCCGCATCTTGCAGTGGGGAGATTGGTCAAGGTAAAATCAGGAGACACCGGCGCAGTTGTTGAACTTCCTTACCGGGGGCCACATGTTCTTGCCAAGCTAGTCTTAGCAACTGGATGCATATGCCGGCAAGAAGCTAGAAGCTGCACCCAGTGCAATTTCCTACTAGCCACTCTGATGAATACTCCCCCCAGTTCTCATTGAAGATCCTTGCTTCGACGGAGATAGGTGCCGAGAAAAAAACCCTAGATTTATAGCTGGGCGGGTTCTCAGGAAGCAGCACAGCAAATTCTCCAGCTCCTGGTGCTTTCCTTTGGTGAAATCAAGCATCATGGGCTATTTGGCAGCCAAAGACCAAAGGGGCACCCTTGTACAAAGGTTGCTTTGGAGGAGGAACTAAAGGGGTCGGCTGACCATCCAAAAAGCGAGGTCGGTTCAACCTCCATTTTCCCACCAGTCAATGGTGAGCCAAAATCAACACCACCCTCTTTTCCGGCCGTTTCCCAGTTGCAAATGACAATGACCCTGGTATAAGATTACAACAACTGGAAAGGTAGCAAAAGCTTTGTTCTTTTTCCTTAGCCTACTTTTAAAAACTGACAGAACAAACAAAAACAAACAGAACAACCTAAACACTTGCCAACAACAGTGAAGGAACCCTTTTTCCCTCCAAGCCTTCATGGTATCCATGGCCGACGCCTGACGGGAGCAGCCCCAAAACCTCCCTGCTCGGCGATGGGATCGTCCAAGCCATTCAGAAAACCGCCAAAGTGGGAGCCATGTCATCAAATATCCATCACCATTAGATTATGTGTCAAGAATCGGGGGCGCCCCAAAATTAGTGGTTTTCCTTTGCTCCCCTTCAAAAACCACCCCAAAAAGGGTACACAAACACGTCCAATTGTCTTCCCTTTGCGGGCAACATATCGGCTAGGACCAAATCTGTTTTGGCCCCCCTTGTTTTGGCCTCGCTAGTTTGTTGGTTTTCAAGGGTTACACCAACAGGCGAACCACCATTTTGGCCCCTCCCATAAGAGAAAGAGTTGACACGTCCATGTCGTGTCCGAGCCCCGAAAAAGCCTTCCTCCGCGCCTTCGTGAAAGTGAGGCCATAGGAGGCCTGCGAAGCTCGGCCGTTTTCTTGCTGGTGCGATAGGTGGGGAATGACTTGGAACGAACCCACAGCTTCCCCTTGAAGGAAACCACAGGGGATGATGATTATATACTGAGCACCAGCCAGCTTTTCAGGGAGACCACTTTGGATGGAGAAACGCCTTCTGGTGCTGGACTCTTGACCCCTCCCGCCTTTTCCGTCTCGGCCATCTCGCCCGATTCCCCCCTTTGGGGGGCAGGAGAGACCAAACAGCAACCAGCTAATGCTGAAAGGAATGCAACTGCTGAAATTTGACGAATTAACACCTGCTGATTCGAAAGAGTATGGGTTATGTACGCCCCTGGTTGCAGATCCTCAAAAAACACAAAACAACTGCTAAAATGCTCTGGTTGAGTTTCTTGCCGATGCTGCTGCTTCAAGCCAAATTCAAGTGCGGATGGAGCCATGCGACAGCTTCTCCAAGCCGAGTCCTGTCACCACATTGATCGACGACCCGCCAAACTAGCATGGAACTCTGGCAAGGGGACCTGCAAATGAAAACCACAGGTTGATGGGGTGTTTCTAGGCGTTATATTGTAGTTTGCACGAGTGTGCCTTTGTCTCAATGGCTGTGCTTATCAGCGAACCTCAACGCCCATCAAGCTCCATTCCGAAACATGGATTCAATACATTTCAAATATTTCAAGGAAGGAACCGCCATTTTCAGCGATGCACGTGCAAGATCGGAGCAGCATATGCTGAAAATGTTCATGGAACCTCAAACAGGTGTCACCGACAAGACGTTTCCTCTGCAAATGCGGATCTGTTGGGTTCAACCTCGGGGGTGTATACCATCACACTGAGTCCCTTTCTCTTCCTGGCACAAAACAGCTCTTTGACTGCAGCTCAAGCAATGCGTGGCGCGTCCTCCAGCACCAAGCCAGTGCATCTGCGTAAAACCACCAGACTGGGCCATCCAAATCCTCATGCCTTGGTCACTCGAAAGTTCCCTGGTCATCGTAGAAGATGAACTAACGCCTTATTTCTCACGCCTACAGGATGGCAGGACAATCGTGACTTGTTCCTCCCTAGCGCTAGGAGGAGCAAACAAGCAACAAAACATTTTGACCCATGGAGAACATGCTTTGTACACCCTAAGGTCAAGGTCATGTCTTTCCGTTGGTTGAGAACTACCCATTTCACCCTGGGTTTTGAGCAACGGGTTGAAACAAAGGATCCCTTGGCAGAATCGGGAAGGTACGCCTAGATACGCTTAGATCATTCCACTACTGTTGCCTGGAAGCTATCCCAATTGAGCAATGAGCCAAACCCGATGTGGCACTTTGGAGCAAACGCCTGGCTGCGCAACTTGCGGGAATCAACACAAAAAGACCTCTGAGATCTGTCTACCCCTACCACGGAAGTTACCCAACAACACCAGGCAGGTTTTAGGCCGGAGCACCGCGCATCACCTTCGCTTGGAACCATCCCCAAGTAACCTGTGGGCCCTCCCAGGCTTTGGAAGCCAACCTCATTGATGAGCCAAACACCTCATCGGCCTCATCGGGAGAGCCTGAGCCAAAAGCCTCCAAGTATCTTTGGACCCCACTCAAACTTGGCTCAAACAGGGCAAAAGGCAGGTGGCCTACAGTGATGCACGAACAGCCGACAACTTGTTGCTTTGCCTGAGAAGAACCTCTTTTCCTAGCTTCGGAATTCAAACCCGGATGAAGATTCTGACCAAGCTGAAACAGGACCTATTCATTTACAGCTTCCTTCCGAACGCAACTTGGGGGTGACTTAATTAGTACCATCGGTCAAGTGGGCTCAGCGACCTTGGTAGAACAAGCAAACTCTTTTCGGGCTGACCAGTTCTAGTGGAAAATCCGCCAAACAGCAAGTGGTTTTTGGGTAGGGTCCACTAACCAACCGGGGACACTTGGTGCTGGAGGAGAAAAGCGCCCATAGTGCGGCTGCTACTCGCCCAGAGCACTCATTGGGGTGCCCATTCAGAAAACTGCGACACTCTACGACATGCAAAGGGAGGCCGACCTGTTCTGAGGTCGAAGCGGACCGGGCTAGATAAGGGCTGATGGTTTCGTGCTCTTCAGCAACGGTGTTGATCCGCGTGGTATTGAAGGATACGAGTCAGGCTGTAGTTTGGAGCCAACACGCAAAGCACACTGCAAACTGTGCAAACTGAACCATCTCCAGCAGTCGATCTTCGACCTTCAGGAAGTCTGTACATTGGACATAGCAAAAGCGGCCTTAGCTCCTTTGCCAATCCAGAATTGCACGATGCCGAGTGCTGGTGAACTGGGACAACACGTCCTAGAATTTTCAATGGCACCTCTTCTCTGATTCTCTTATCTCCCATTAAGCTGACCCGCCCTCTGGCCAACCATGAAACAAGAGCCTAATTTTGTCTTGGAACGGGCCGATGCCAGCTCTGCGAGGTGACACCATAGCCCATGTAGTGCGAAAAGAAACGAGATGAACCAAACCCCTCAAAAGGGCTCATTAAGTTCTGGCGTGCCTGTGAAAAGCAAGGAGCACTTCTCCACTGGAAGAAGAAAATGAAAGAGTTTTAATATATTCCACACAAACCTGGAGGCGAAAAACTCTCGCCGGTAACGAACCTGTTGCATCCCTCCAACAGAACCATTTGGGTATGTCCCAAAATAGACCCAAAGTACGTGGCTTTCTTTGGCTCCACTAAAAACCAACCCCAAAAGTTTTAACTGGGGTCATTATTTCGACGGTTTCTGGGAGTTATCAAAGTCAGAAAATGGGGTTGCTTCCGTTTAACCCACCACTTAGGGGGTGACTTTGATCATGGTAAATAATGAGGCCAGTTCAAAGTGGTACAGTTCAACCTTTTTTCTCGAGGTGGTCATCTCCATGCTTCATCGGCTCCTTTATCCCATCACTTCGGCTTCTCCACAAACCACTAGCAATCAGTTCAGGAGCGGAAGCCCCAACACACAGGACTTCAACACAGGTCTTTCCTTGTTTGCCGCCTTGGATTCATCGCATGTTGGCCTCTAGTTGATGAAACAAAAAACAGTGGAACGCAAAGATTCTGTGGCAACCAGTATCATCACTGAAGAACTCAACTCAACAACATGTTGTCAAACATCAAACAAATCATGGTTCCATCTGATCCCACAGGCTCACCTGCCCAGCTACCACCCATCCCCTCTTACCAGCCTAACACTGCCTTAACACAAACAACACTTGACATCCCCTTCGTCCCAAGTCATGACGTCTTTTCAATCCAAAGGTGGCAGCCCTTGCTTGACTCGTTGCACCCATCCAGCCTCTCGGGCTTCAAGTCGAATCGAAGGAGCCGCTCAGCTCTGGGTCACGGCCCTCTTCCCATTCCGAATCCCAAGCCATTGGCAAAGGGGGCTTTGCCTACGGCCCAGGGGTTACCAGGATCGCATGGCCCAAATCTGAGGTACACAGAAAAGCAGATCGTCAGATTTGGTCTGATATTTAGCTTTCCCTGAAAAAGGAAACTAAAGGAGAGACCCCAGTAACAGTCACAGATTTTTTGTTGGATCCCCTTTTTGGGCAAGGAGGTTCACCAACAAGAATAATAACGACAACAAATCCAAGGCTTCTCCGGGCTACCATTCGAGCGACTTTGTCACTAATGAAACAACGTGTTCTTGTTTGTGGACGGGGAGGGGCCGACCTTGGACCTGGGGCTGAAACTTCCAGGAGTCCAGGGAGCACATGGGTTTGCCGCAGAGCAAAAGGCTACAGACATTTTTTCTGGGCTGCAAATCACAATTCAGCGGGCATAAATCCGCAACGGATTCCAAATGGGTGAGCTCCTCCCAGATCTCCCTTCTTTGACCCGACAAACGTCTCCCAAAAAATGGGCTGGCTGCTTTTTCCCAAAGTAAAACTGAGAGACAACCAGCTGCTTCTCTCCTAAGGCAAAGCGTTCAAAGGCCGTGCTGAGAGAGGCAGGGGCCGTGCCCAAAGCTGCGCGGGGGAAAATGCGCCTGAGAGAGGACACCTGAGCAAAGACCGCCCCCCCGGGTCGCACGTGGCGAGCCTCGCACATGTCCAGTGCTAGCAATAACGGTCTCCCTTAACCGAATTCCCATTCATCCAAAAGTAAGGGAACAATGCTCAATTTATATGTCCCAAGCATTCCAGCATTCATTCATCCCAACATTTCCTTATCCTTGCATTAGAATGGGACTGCTTCTCCCCAAATGTCTTCCGCTGACCCCAAGTAGTGGCTTTTTGGGGTCCCCGAGAGGGGGGCAGTCCATCTGGGAACAGAAGAGGGCCAAAGAGGATCCGAAATGAAGAAACTGTTTTTTCCTTACTTCCTTGGCCGGGGGGGGCTGGACCCCCTTATTTATCAGTGTATCAATAGGGGTACGCTTCTCAGCTTGAAAGAAAACCTCTGGGGTCCCCCCTACTTTGGCACCATGCCGAATCTCTCTTTGTCTAACCTGCCCATGTCATCAGGGCTGCAGAACCAGCTACAAGAAAAAGTGCTTGTGAATAACCGGGTACTGTATAGTTCCATAGCTCACTTGAGGAGCGGGTGAACGAAAACTAGCAGTTGTTGCATGAGATGGGTCGGTGACAGAGTGGATTCATAGGTAGCTTGTGTACAACGAGAGGCCCGGCAAGATTCGTAGGATGCGTCACGCAAACGCACATGGTGGCGTGGCAAACCTTGAACAATGAAAACAACGAGAGGCGTCAGAAGCTGTCTTAAAGCACCTGTGGGTTCTGCATGCAGCGTGTGCCAAGATTCTTGCGAGGTGGTTTACCGAGAAGACTGAGGTCTCAAGTGAACAAGCTGAATCGGTGGAACATGTAAAAGTTCGTAGCACCAAGTCCAAAACGGGCAAACCGAGACTGCTGAACACTGAGCCACTGCCCGGGGGGGGGGGGATGGACCAGGGAGGAATCGAGCCTGAGACCCGGGGGGGGGGGAGGGGGGGGGGGTCTAAATAATTGATATTTTTCAATCTTTTCGGCTCAAATAATTGAAAAAATCAATCTTTCGGCATTTGAGCCCCTTACCTTGCTTACGCAAGGAGAAACTTCAGCTAGCTAAAGCTAGCTTTCGTGATAAAAAAGGCGTACGGCCATCTGCGTCGAGAACCCCAAATGTGACCTAACCTTTGGACTATGACAAACGTAGAACACAGGATGGGAGTACATCCCTCGCACTGTTCCTTCTAACGAAGCCCAACACCACCACACAAGTAGGGCGAGTGGACTGGCTTCTCTGCTTGTTCCTTTTCAATGTTCCCAAGAAAATTTACAAGTAATTAATAATGTGCTCAACTCGAAGGATGTGCCACACCGTGCTCCTAGGGGTGCGATTCCTCGCTGGGCGTGCTCAAGCCTCAAGCGCGACTGTGCACAGCAAGCGGCGAGTATTGAGCCTGGCCCAAAATGGAAACACCACGCATCCCTGGCCTTTTGAACCTCTGATTGCAAACTCACACGGACCCCAAAATCATTTGGAGAAATGCCTGTTTTTGTCAGGCAAGCAAGGGCATGTTCGGGTATGCAGCTTGGAGCATGGTAGCCGGAAAGCAAGACAGGGAAATAGAAACATGTCGGTCCATTCATGTGACATTTTCAGCACCTACCCTGTTAACCGTGATTCAAACGGGCTTTCCATGGGGTCCCAACAGTGATTTTGAGAACCGCTCGAAATGCCGGCCCACTTTTAGGGACCCGGCGTAGACAAATCTCTATGTCTTGTTTCATCTCTTCAATTTCCAAGCTTTGGCCCCGGGGAAAATGCAGGGACGCCTGGTCAAGCAAACGGACAAAGCAGCACTGGGTTTCTCTTTAGTTGCAAAGAAACAGCACATAGGCCACATAGGTGATGCCCTGTTTCAAAGCCAGAACTAACTACATCAAGCGTCACTACCTAAAACCAGTCTTCTGCTCCAACTCGGTCACATACGCATTGGCACATGCGACACCCGAAGTTCCTCGGAAGGGTTGTCTAAACACAGACTCAGCCCAGGCTCCGAGAGACCGGCAGCTTTCCCAGTTTTCTGGGTGCGCCCTGGCCTCTACCGAATTTTTCCATGGGTCTTTCGGAATCCGCCTTGGGATGAAATTCTGAAAGGTCCGCGCAAGCCGCGAAGAACCGCACAACACAATCTCACAAATTGCTCAACTCGACATGTTGTGGTCTTTCAATGCCCGTCGGCAGTCTTAAAATGATACATCTACCAGCTTTGTGGTGGCATCCCTGATGACATGTGACTTTCAAATGCATCTTTCAAGGAACTCTATGTCTTGACCCGCGTTTGATCGGACAACGGGGTCTACAGTCAAGGGAAGTACGGCGGTTTGTCTAATAGCACAAGCTTTCCATAGTGCTTTTTCCTCCTGAGCCTCAACTAGCGGACCCTTTATGACCTGCTTTATCATGGGCATGGGCAGGGTCGCACTCTCCCCATCGTCAGGTCACTGCAATAAGTTGTCCAAATGCTGAGAAGGTGACTCCACACCCACTCCTTGCCGAACTTGGCGTCTGCCATCCCCCCTTCTTACACGATGGCCCCAACCCAAACCGTTCTCGGGACGGCTGTGGCCATCCCTTGTGTTCTTGGGGTCGACCATGTTCAGCGTGACTCGCTATCTAGCATGCAAGATCAATGCTTTTGAATACCAAGCCAGCCATGACTTCAATGTTTATCGTTTTGTGTTCGTTAGGTGCTGTTCAGAGTTTGCTGGGGGCTGCGAATAATTATCGTGTTTTCATGTCTACAGATTACCACATTGAGTAGTTGTCAGTTTACCCCAAAAGAATCTTCAAGGGGATAGATGTGTTTTTTGTTCCAGACAAATCCTTACTTGACCCTCATTATTTTGTTCCGTGTTTGCAATTTTTGGGATCTTTTTTGCAAATCGGCGTGCCCCGAGGTTTGCCAGAAGATGTTATCACGAAAGCAGTCCTTAATTATCTTCGATAATTACCAAAGTCACAGGCTGAGATCAAAACGTCCACCCCTTGGACTTAGGAATTCGTGTCTGTACAACTGGCCAAGCGCATCTCAGCAATCAGGACATGGGTTGCGTGATTTGTGGAAATGACGGGTGCGAAGAATCAGGGGTCGACCTTAAGGCGACTTCATGCGTCGGGCCCGAAATTCGCGCAAGCCCGCACAGCTGCGCGGAAACTGCAGGTAGCTTCTGCTTCTGGCTGAGCCTATTTCTGTCAATGTGCTGCGATGGCGACCTGGCTGGCGATGATCAACTTCCCTCTACTTGGTGTTTTGCAAATCAGAATTTGCTTTGCTTGTTGCCCACAGGACCAGGGTCTAAACCCTCGCAAACCAGGTCAGGGAAATCCCTGAGAAAGAGCGCTAAAGCAGGGTAGTAAGTGGTGTCTGACCAAACAAAAATAACAACGGCACCTTGCCAGCGGCAAGCTCACCAGGCGTGCGTGCTCGAACCGTTGCCCAAACAGCCCAAAATCGGCTACAAGTTGAAATAGTGAGACGGGGGCCTGTCGTGAACCCATGTTGGCTTTCGAGGTAATTAGCTCGCATCTCCAAGAGCCACTGGTTCCAAGCGGGTTTCAAAGCGTCAATTGCTATTCTTCACTTAAACGAGAACAGCAAACTCACAGGCTCAAACTGGTCGAGCCTCGATCGCTACCGCCCTTTGTGCCTCAAGCCGAAGCCGGCCCCGGCCTCTCGCCGCAGCACTGGTCGACCTCGAGTCGAGCTCGTTGCCATGCGCTGAACCAGTTGCCTTTACCAGAGCCCAGCTCAGGGTTTGGACACCAAAAGGCCATGGATCATTCCCAAACAAAATCCAGACCTATTTGCACCAGGTCAAAGTATGGCAGACTTCACCTTTATGCGACCAAGTAGATGTCTAATCTGAAGCATCATAGGGGAATAGCGCCATGTGCTTTTTATCAAAGGATGCTTTTGGTGGGGACGGCTTCAAAGGCGGAAGAGTCTTCTGGTGTTCCGAAAAGATGTTCGCAGGCAACGTGCAACCATGCTCAAATGCCTGCAACCGTGACACATACAGTACATTCGCAGCTACCACCAATATCTCAAAATCACCCTCTGCGTTCAAGTGCTTAAAGCAAAATCCTGGCAACATCGCAGCGGCAACTGCAACTGCACCAGCACATGGTGTCGCACATACATCGCCAATCAATATGTGCCAAAAGCGAGGTCTGGACAATTCAAAACATACCAGCTCCCTTGTCTCTGGTTTGACCTTGCCCAAACCCAACAATCGTGGGCTAGCCTTAGCCAAACGGACGGCGGCACACTGCAGCCTCAATACTTCCTTTTTTCTCTGGCGATGCATCAGCGCGAAGAGGTCCTCAGACCCGTGAAAGAAACTGAACAAAATGAACCTCTGAGGCGTGCTCCAAATGCCCCGCCACAACTCACCCGCACAAATTCACAGGACAAGCGCGATGCTTAAAACAATGGGCGGTTGCGGACATCACATTTGTAAAACAAACATGTCGCACCGGGCTGTGTCCCCAAAACAATTGGGTGTGATGATGCTCCACTCTCAAGGCGCTGCCTTGCAAATCACCACCCGCTCCTTTACCCGGCCGCTTCGGCTGCTTCCGCCGCAGCAGGCCGGGCCGTCGCTGCCGCAGCGGCCGCCACGCTCGCTTGGGGCCCGCGCAGGGCCAAATCTCCGTGTAGAGCCTTGGTGCAAGGGCGACAAGCCACTGCTTTAACATGAACTCTTATTGGTTAGTGAGAGTGGGGTCCGTTGCAAAGGGTGGATTCCCTCAATCCATGGGGTAGTAGGACCCTCGCGACCACTTGATTGTGGTGGGTCCCTTGAAATATAGGCTTCCTGTTCAAGACCCCGCCAATCTATGAAAGGCGTCTGGTCCCTTCAACGAAATCCTTCCCTCAACAGCCTCCGTTGTGAGGGTACTACGAATTGCTTACACAAGTCAAGGCACTTTACAGGAAAACAAATCCCCATTGAAGCCATTCTAAGATCTTCACATCCCCTCCCGGTCACGTTGATGCTTGCGGCAGTTGGTACCTCTTTAACGGGCTCTGCTGTTTTTTCCCAACGGGCGTCGACAGCCAACCTATGATTGTTTTCAAAGGGAACCCCGCGGTGTGTTGCACCGTTGGAGTTGGACAATTTAAATAAATGGCCACGAAACTGCAAGTCCCTCCAAAAATGCAAAAATGGAAAGCAACAAACATACACTAGCCTGGCGCAGCCTGGCACATTTTGGTCAGCCTGGCCTCCAACAAAAAAACAGCACCCAGAACGCACATGCTTAGAGAAGGCATCTCCCATGGGGCTTCCTGTGACGCTCTGTGGGAAAAAGGTTCACGGGCCTCCTTATGGAAAGGGACTACATTCCAAATAAACATGTCCCTTAAGTGTAATTCCAATAATTGGTATGGCCCTGTTTCTTGGCGGATCAAAGCGGGTTTCTTGGGTGCGTGCTGAAAGCTGCCAGACGGCTTTGCTTGGAAACCATATGGCCAATGCGCTTCATAATTTATCGGGTCCACTAAAGTGACGGTTTTCGGAGGAACATGTCCTGTACACCAAATGTTCGTCTTGACCGTGGGGGAGTAACTGCGGCCCGAGTTTGGTGATGGCGCTTTTGTTCCCAACAGTCAAAGGTTAAAGAACCCCTCCCCCGCGGGGAAAAACAACATGTGGATCCGGGATTCGTCAGCCTAGCGTTTTGAAGGTCCCTCGCCAATATGGGGAAAGGCTCCCCTCCAAAATTGGACACCCCCTTTGTTCATCAAGAAGTTGGTCCTGGGTCTCCATGAGCAGCCAAGTTTAGGGCCTTTTCATCTTTTGCTATTGTTAGACTGGTCTTCCCCGCAAGTAAAAGGCCCTGAGCATTGTGAGGTGGACATGGTTTGCACGGGGATTCATGCCAATCTTTCTGAGGCAAGTTAGCCAAGCCACTCCACTCGACTCCACTGCTCTTTGCTTCCCTTCCCGTCTCTTCCCTTCACTCACACACCTCACCTCACCTCACCGGCCCCACTCAAAGACTCACTGACGACACTTTCACTCACTTCACTAATTGAGCCTGCTAAGCTTCCATTTGCCCAAGTGGAAAAAAAGCAAAGCCACCAGGGGGAAAAGCCGCCGGCTCGGCCGGCGTGTCTTGTGGATGTTCTTGCGGGTTTTGCCGTGCCTATTGTCACAGGGGACACGCGCCGCAAATTCTTCGGCCGCTGGAGGCGCGCCTTGGCACAGGACGCCGCCAGCCCCAGGCGCCGCTGAAACTGCCGCAGCTCCTCCGCGCAGCTTGCGGCGCTGGGAGGGCAGGACCAAAGCCTCGGGAGCCGGGCGGGGGACTAGCCCTGGCTTTGCCCCAAGCAACACCAAGATTGAGGTCTGGGTAACTGGGGACCAGCAACTGGCAATTGGGACCAGTACCTCGCGATGTTGTTGGTGATTGGTGTTGGTGCTGGTTGGTGTGTTGTTGTTGGTGTTAATGGGTCGGGGGCCAGTACCTCTCCCGCCAATTCACGGGGAACCATTCGATGTTTCGGGGGCTGGTTAAATGCCGGAAGAACAAAAACAACACCAAACAAACATAATGCCAAGAACAGTGCGGTTGATGCTGTTGGTGATTGGTGCTGGTTGGTGTGTCGTTGTTGGTGTTAATCGTGGGCCTTCATGTTGCTAGATGACTTGGGGCAAAGCCAAGGCTCTAGTGCGATCATATGTACTTACCCACAGGGAATCACAGGGAATTGGGCCATCTACATTCACCCTTGCACTCGGGGCTCCATGGCTCCCCATTTGAGAGGGTGAACCACAGGTATGATACCTCTTTGAAGAAACCCTCATGCTGAGCCCAGGGAGTCAGGCTTGTGTTTGGTGGCTCTGGCGATGTGCGGAGCCTAAATATTTGGGGTCAGAATCTGACGTGTTGACTGGCCGTAACTTGAATGAGAGAAACAAGCACTACGAACGCACAGGCTAAGCGGCTAAAGTGTGCATCATACGCCTGACGAGTTGGGCGCATCAACTCTATCCCCTTGACATCACGTGGGCCACAACTGGGACATGAAGACCAACTGGAACAACAAGTTGTGAACCAACCAAATGCATGTGCTACAACTTTGGCAGCAATTTCAGCAACACTGGGACATCAATACAGAACAACTGGATAAACAACTGGAAATCAGGAAGCTGGAAAACCAAATGCAATGACTTTGGCTTTCATGTGGCAATGACTTTGGGACCAATAGACCAGCACTGGGAACTCAACAAAATTCAACTGGAAAACCAACTGGGCAACCTTTTAGGACCTAAATATGGGGAGTCCGAAGGCTTGTCCTGTCAAACCACTCAGAAGGCGGGGCCAAACATAGATCCCCTGCCAAAGCTATTCGGCTTCTGGTTGATAGGACCCCAAAAGGCAAAATTTGCCAAAACAAATGCAGAGTCTGGCCATGAAGGGAACTAAAAGGAGAGTACCTTCAGCCTCCAAATGCTTGGCTTCCACAACTAGGTCCTTTAGTAGAGAGGTTAGAATACGGGTACCTTTCTTTCTGTAGTCTATTTTAGTAGGGGAACCCTCCCCAAAAAAAGGGTAAAAGGGCACTGCTGGGGGACCTAGACAAAAAACAGGGCGACGCTCCCGGCTAGGTGCTCCGTGGCGAAGCCGCTGCCATGAAGGCGGCAAGAGCAGTGCGCCGGGTCCTGCCCATCACTCGAACGACATGGGGACCAACCAACTGCCTCTATCCCAACTGCCGATATGGGTCGGGACCCAAACTGGTGCCGTCCCTTCTGGTTTGCACTTTGAGCGAACCTGAATCGGGTAGACTCAGAAGAAATTTACACACGCATGGTTTCATGGTTTGTGTCCGAAAAATCACGAATTCCTTGGGTTCAAAAGGACCAAAGCGCCCCCACCCGTTTGGATGGGAATGTCTTACGCCAACACCCAGTGGCTCGCTGCTTGTTTAATTCAAAAGCAAACCCCTTGGAGCGACGGCAAATGAGTCTCAAACAATCTCCTGTTCAATTTCCTGCAGCATCTGCTTGTCTGCGCCGGGGGCTTGGTTTTGGGGTCTCCCCTACAACCGCGAAAGGGAGCCCTAAGCAAGGCAACACCCAAACCAGAACCAATGAAACCTGCTTGTTCAGCAGCCAATCTTTGGAAACAATGAGCGGGCCTCCACTTGGTTCAAGGTGCTTGGAAAACTGTAATTTGCTCCTTGGAACATGGTCAAATTGCCATCCATTTCCGGGCTCTGAGATATCCGTTTCCGAAGCCAGCCAAATGTTCAATACTTGAAAAGGATAGCATCGGATAGCTTTTTGCCGAACATCGTTCAAGTTGTAGCTTCCTGCAGGGGAAATGCAAGCGCCAAACCGCCACGCCCAAGGGTGTTTCCAACTCACTGAAGCGCCCGCTTGTTGAGCCCAGGGAATTGCATGCCACATAGGGGGTGTTGAAACATCGTGTTCATTAGGCGTCACATTATGTAGGGACACAAACGGTTATGTTCCATCCATGCCCCTTCGCATCTTTCCGCAGATCGCATCAGCCATGCTTCACAAAAACTGTTTTCTTGTTTTTGTTGATCCAAAGGGCTTCCCTCAGACCTTTGAGAGCAAGGTGTTGGATTTACAAACACTTTCGCACTCGGTCGGGTCGCCGACTAACGGACTCACGGCCTCCCACGTCGGACCCGCCGCTTTTCGAAAGGGCAGCACAGCGGTGCGGAGGACATCTGCAGCGAGGTGCTGGGCCTACACGAGCGAGCCCTAATGATTCAACCTTTGTAGGAAGCCCCCCTGGTGGTTCACCCATAATTATCATAGAAGTGGTTCATGGTCCTTATTAAATTCTTTTTGAAAGGTTTACCATACAACCCAAGGGACTGACTCACTGGGGGTACGAGTGACTCACCAGGCTGGTCATCTAAGCAAGTGGTTGAGTTGCTTGGGGCTCGCAATATTTCCCCAGTTTGTTTCAAACATCGACTTGTTGGGACATGTTCAAAGTTTCCCTTTCGGAGGTGATGCTTGACCCTGTTGCTAGTTGGTGGCCACTGAGGCTGGAACCGTCACAAAAAAGCCCTTTGCAAAGGGTGGATTCCGTCCATCCATTCGTCACATGGTCGTGAGATCTTGGTTGAAAGGCTGAACAAAGGACAAAGGGCACCCAACGGGCGCACATTGGCTACTTCGGGCTAGTTTGAGAACTGGCTTGCTTTGGTGGTTGGTGAATGGAAACATCATTACTTCATAGTCCTTCCCTTGAAAAGACAGCCCTCTGTTTTCCAATTTGGACAAACACAAAGACAACCCTCCAATTTTTCGCAGCATGGGGAAGGGAAATGACGGAGCCAGGGATATGGAGGATCTGGTTGCCATGCGAATGCGAATCCTCCGGTGCCACTTCCGCATTCCCAGTTTATGATTTCAGATTGACTCCCTTCGCATCGAACTCCAGAAAACCTGCTGAATAGCCCATGTTGTCCAACTTTTTGAAACCCATGTTGTCCAATTTATTGAAGGGAAACCAGCAACGTGCTGGTTCGTGAGTGAATCATCTACTCTCAGTGTGCAGACCTCGTCACTGGTCAACAAACAATGCTTGCTGTTTCTTGCGCAGGCAAAGATCCAGCCACGATTAATGGACTATCAACAGATTACGCAAAGTCATGCTTGCAAGTGGCAAGAGTGGACGACTTTCGTTCTGAATCGTTCCTACTGACACATACTGTCACTTACAAACTGGAACTCAGAAATCCGCATGAAAGAGCTCGTTTTAGCCCCCAGTTAACTCCCTATGGGTTGCCTTTTGATTGCCCATTTAGTGATCGCCCTTTTTGCTGCGTTGGCCAAGCCTGCCGCTTTCTGCTTGCCAGCCAGACAAAAGGCCTATACCCCAAACCCTGGAACCTTGCCGAAGCCTTCCTGGAACCCTTCATGCCCCAACCACCTTGAAGGGTCCCTTAACACTTCGAGGATTCCTCGGCCCATCCTTTACACGGGTGCTTTCTGCTCCCCTGCTAAAAGTTTAACTTTTAGTGGTTTAATGGAAAACCCATTAGTTGGCAACAGGCTAAAGTCCTAACATCCAAGCAAAATGCACCGAAGTTTAGATTGGCTCAGACTCGAACCCAACGCTCCGCGCCTCTGCGCGATTTCTTCCGAAGACACCGAGGTCGGGGCCCGAGTTGATCTCCAGGAGCCAAGCTTTGGGCTCCGAGCCCTCCCTAAGCGAAGGATACTCTCCTGGTGTTTTTTCCTTTTTTTTTGCCAGGTAAGCGTGTTTTAAGTATGTTGCGAACTACTTGCTTCGGATGGGCTGAGGATTTGCGAGCTTGGGGCGGCGAAGGGACGTGATCCCAAAGAAGCTGCATGGCTTTTGGCAGTCCCGTGCACGTTCTTTTACACTACTGCGAACCGTCTCATGAAACAACTCCCCGGATTCTGTTTTTTGTACTCGATGCACGAAGTCTATCAGATGCGCAATGTTGACCATTTCAAATTCAGACACCTCCCCCTGCTCCTCCAAGAGACCAACTGAAACAGGCTCCATCCGAAGGAAAACCGTCACATTCACGCGGTTTGCGGATGGTCGGTCATGAAAAGGGGGCCTCAACTGGTGGCCATACACTTGTGTGCGTGTGTGTGTCGCAAGGCTAGGGACGTGCTCACATGATTGAGGTCATGCTATGTCTGTTTTCAAGCCTGCCTTTGGACACGCCACTTCCCGCCAAGGAGCAACAGGAAGTCCGCTGCGAAGAGCTCAAAACACCTTGAGAAAAACTAAGCTGAACGGAGAAAAAATATAAATTTGCCACTTCTCTGGCACCTAGTTCCCATGAGAAAAAAACGAGGGCACCTCAAGTTGCCTCAAGTCACACTTTCCCCACCCAGGTAGCTCAACCCAAAGGCTCTGGCTTGGCACTTTCCAAGAACCCGCCTGAAAAACACACATTCTGCCAGGCTGCACGACGCCCAAGGAAACAGTTATCTACTTGTGTCAAGGGAAAACTGAGACTGTCTAGTTGCCCGGCTCTGACGCCTTGCCATCTCTATTCTCTATTTTAGCTGGATGACAATTGAAACGGCAAGGCACTGAACCAAACCAGGAACCTCTTACTTTGCGGGTTGAAACCATGTAGGCATTGCTGAGGCGACTTTGAGGCCGCCCTGTCCAGGGAACCGAAGGAGTGTCATTGCCGATTTGGTTGATGCAAGCCAGGTTCTTAATCCTCGCCGAGTTTTCTGCTAGCTTCGAGCTACAAGCTGGATAATTTGGAACTGCGCTTTCCGACATGCAACCAGGCCAAATGCTACAGCTACATGAATTAACAGGACAATCTGCAGCAACCTAATCTCGGCGTGCTCATTCTACGCATTTTTGGGGAACCGCCCGCATACATTCCCATCATCCACTCAGTGAAGTCCTGAGGCGGGCTGCACCCGTCACCTAAAGGGAAGCCCGTTTGGGGTTGACCATTTTAAGATCGGAAGGAACCACAGCTGATTGGCGAGGTGCTCCGAATAATCGATGTGAAGTCAGCTTGGTGTCAAATAGGGGTTCTGGAAAGAATAACCGTACTCATGTTCCGCCCGTTTTGGTTTAGTCCCGCGATAATTAATTGACACTTGTCCAATTTCTTGCCCTGGAGCGCGTGAACATGACCCCCCTGCAAATCAACATGAATCCCCCCAAGATGCCTGCATGTTCTGATCTCTTCTTGGGGGACCCCCTCTTTGGGTCCCATATCAACTTGCCAGGGGGTCGATCGACCAATGTGTCCGCCCGCTTCGCCGCGTGGCTGCGGCAATGGCCAGAAGCCCGCAGTGCGCGCGCAGCTGGCGAGGGCCTGTGTGAAGAAACCTCACCGTTGAACTGGGCCCATAGCACGACATCCTCAAAGTCACCGTCTCGATTTTGGTGGCTTCAAGGAAGCACAAGTCACTTTGAGTTCTCATTGAACATCATCTTTTCTAAGGGGCCAAGTTGATCAGCCTTGAGTTCTCTCTTGAAACTCAACTACCACGATGGTCTGACAACCTTCTTCGGATGTCATTACTATATTGTGTTGTCATAGCATTGGGACCTGTATGGTCTGCCTAACCTACCTGTTTCGCCTTGGCAAGACACCATCAGTGTGTAATACATGAAAAAGCCGCCCATTTTGTGCAACCGAATGGACTACCCCATCGATTTTGCCAACACAGCAGGACCAACGCTGCACTGCTGCACATACGTTCCTGTTGGTTTCGCTTCAAGTTGTAAAACAACTTTTCGGGTCTTTACCAACATATGGGGTGCATGTTGTTCTTTACACCCCCCAAACTACGGTTTGACGCACTCCTCTTGGTTTCCCTTGGCGCCTTTGGCCCTTGGAAGCCTCCAGGCGAGCTTGACCTGCCTGCTGCAGGCTGGAGGCCACTTGGCGACGCACGGGCTCCGCCAAAACCTGCACGCGGATCCTTGGGAAGGGCAGGCTGACGAGTTTCTTCCGTGAGGATTTGTTTGGTCAGCAGTTTCCGGGAAGCCACGGGGAAACCAATGGAAAAGAAACATGTTTGGGAAGCGTCCGTGATACAACGATTCCGAAATCCCTGGATGTTATAGAAACGAAGCTTGAACTGGGGGCTGAAAAAGATCATGAGTGAGTGGGTGGGTGAGTGAGCGAGTGAGCGGGTGAGTGGGACACTGACCCCAACAACTTTTGACATGTGAACCTGATCCAGGCTTTCCTTTGCCCTTTGCTGGTCTTAAGTAATGGTTCAGCCCCTTCATGAAGATTACACTTGTCGCGGGTAAAATGCAATCTCACTCCGAAGGACGCTCGGGAAAAATGGAGCAATGGGAATGGTAGAACTGAAGCCGTCCGAGACACACCTCTGAAAACCAAGTGGCAACTGTTTGATGGAGCTGGCAATTTGTTTTAAAATTACGTCAAGTTTCCTGGTCTTACACTGCTTGGCGGTCATCTTTCATGCCAAGTAAAACCAACACAAACCCATTCCAGCAATCTGAGCAACATGCACAATTGGTCAACTGACTTCTCCTAAAATGCGGGCAAGCATGAGGTCCCCAATCCATCGATTTGTGTGAACCCTCGTTAAAAACAAAAAAGGCCTTTCAATGTGACCTTGTTTGTGGTTCGCTGTAAAATTACCAGCTCAAAGCCCTAGCCTTTTACTTTTACTGGTTCGTCCATCAAACCAATCTCTTCCCGGCTCAAAGGCTAAAGGCGTTAGATCTAGGCTAGTGGTCCCCAAACCACACAAATTTAAGGCAACGTCTTGATACAAACCAAACCCAAACAGTAAAGTGGGTGTCTCTGTAATATGACTGCTTGGGGGTCTTCTTTAATTTCAAGCTTGTTGGAACTAAATTGGACTAGGCACTAAAGTAAAGTTGTCACTGGGAGTTTGAGAGTAATTCTCGGCAATACTAGACTTAGACTAGGCAATACAACAGTAGGCAACTGGCAATCCAACAGGAATTGCTGGCATATTAAACTAAGCACTGGCAATACTAAAATAATACGCTAAACAACCCCTATAGAGGACCCCGATCATTGTTTGACTGTTCTTGGAGGGGCCCATTAAACAAGGTACGTGAATGAGGAAAACAAACATTGGTGTGATCCAATGCAGCAATTCAGCAGCAGTGTCAGGAAGTGCTGAACAAATCACGAGGCACACGCCATTGCCAATCGTTCCACACCCCGAAACCCCACGTTTTTGCCCCCAACTGCCTGGGAATCCAGGTTCGTATGGGCACTGGAAGCTTCGAAGATCCCGTTGATTCCCCCCGCTGACTGCTTCTTTTGCGGAGCCCAGGCTGTCCAGGCGTCTGACGTGCTTCGTCGTAATCCGGGTGAGCCTCCTGAACTGATGCGATTCGCTCAACCCGTCGCCTCAAGCTGTGGCTCTTTACTACACTCGCTTTCACCACCTTCCTTTGAACCCTGGTTGGTCCCCTTCAATGGAGCCACCTTTCTCTGAACCACCCCGTTTCCACCGAATCTCGCCGGAGCCGCTCCTGGATGCAGTGGTTGGTCAAATGCGCCGCCGTCCTCGCCAGGTCCTCAGTGAAGACCTCGCTGGCAAGCAGCGCCACCGCCTGCCAAGGCATCACATCTTGAGGTCTTTCTCCGCAATTAATTGGGACTTTACCTCCATTTGCTTAAGTCCCCTGGAACAAAAATATATCCAGTAGTGCTAGAGTCCCGTTAAAAACAACAGGGAGAAAGAAGAACTAGTCTTAACCAAATGGAAGTTTAGGAGTTCCCGTTCTTTCTCCAAAAACGGGGTCAACAAAAACGAGTTTCCAGATTGCTGATGCCATTGAACACTCAAAATCATAATCATGGTGATCCAGTCCTCTCGATTATGTTTAAAACATCACCAGGTGACACCAGGTGTTCATAGTTTTACTTTCCTCGGAAAATCGAAAAGGTTTCCAATACAATGCCGATGCGTTTCCCCCTACACAAAAAAGGGTTCCCGAACTTCCTAGTCTCACTTGTCATGCCCAACTCCGAACATGCATGTCTCAGACTGGCGGGAGTACAAAGGGCACTTCTCCCAAAGAAGATGCAAAGGGGCGGCCGGCAGGTCAAAGTATGCTAAAGACTGGAGATGTGCAAGGCCAGCAAGCCACCAGAAAGCCACTCGTCTTGGGGCCTTTGACAATGGGTTCAAAGTAGGTGGCCCAACTCCCAAGGTGTCGACTCACGAAAAGGGATTTCTGTCAGATACCAGTAGGTCTCAAAGGGGACGCTCCACGTTTGGCGCCCTATGCTATCCTATGCTCACTATTCGGCGCATAGATGGCGTCCAAGTTGCAAACCTCCATGGGGGCGATTTTTGGCCCGCCGAAATGATGTCTTTGAGAGAGCCCCGTTTTGAAGCCCACGCCAACCACCCCGGCCCGAAACATCCTGGGAGTGCAGCCAGGCTCTGGAGGTGCCGCAGAAGGGGCAACCCACCATCAGGAAGTGGCCTGGGGAGTCCCGACCCCAGGCTGGGCCGGAAATTTGGCGCCCACTTTAGGAAGGGATACTCCAGAAATGGAGATCCCACTGAAACCCGCGGTTTTGTGGGTTCGAGTTCAAAGGAAAGCACAAAGGAAGCTCTATCCACAACGGCCGCGTAAGCCTCATTTCGAGAAACACGTTGTGTTTCATCGCTAGCCCAATTTCCCCTGAAAAATTGTCAGGTGATCCCCTCATAGGCTAGGATCAGACGAGCGCATGGATTGTTTGCTCGCAAAGTCAAAAGGTTGGCTTTGAGCAACTCCTTTGGTGGCCCAAATTTACGTTCCTGGGGAACGATGGGAGGACTCAGGAGGACCAACATACAATTTGTCTTTGCTTCATTCTCCTAGCCCTACCCCACAAAGGAAACTTTGAACTTGGCAACAAGGTGATGCTAAAACAAACCGAAACTTGGCGAACACTGTGTGCCCTCGGTGTAACCATAGCCTCAGGGCTACTCGGAGATCCCTTGGCCTGGAACAAGAAAAGCTCAATGGTTAAACCTGGCATCATGCATACCAAGTATGGCTACCAATTCAGAGTGGCCCCTGAGGCTTAGGACATTGATTTCCAATTTCTCATCCAGGTCCCATGTTGGAAGGGTACTTTTCCGCTTAGCTCATGCGTCTCTTTCCCTGCGACCTCTGAAAGCCATACCTGAGGCCGCCGCTTGAAACCACGCCCACCAAACTGCGGCTGCGCTGACAGCGTATTCTTTTTGTGAACCATACAAATCAAGAGGAGGCAACACTGCTGCTGCGAACCTACCTTGATGCCTGGACATGTCACACGAAACCCCCAACGAACCTCCACCATGTTGAAAACTAGCTTCTATAACAGCGTCATTGCTGAATCCAACTTGAACCCCCAAAAAAAGAACAAAACGTTCGCTTCGCGTTCAATGCCAAACCCCAAAAACACAAACGGAAAAGGTGAGGCAAATCGGTCTGAAGCAACTCCTCTTGCGTTTGGCAGGTTTACAAGGCACCCAGCCCCTTGCTACTGCACAACCAACCGGCTCTCCCAACACACGTTTGGCGATTGATGGACCGGCCCAGTGGCAGCGCAGGTGGAACTTCCTCCCCTCCAGCAAGGATCGGATGTAGGGCTGAATGACCCATTCCTCGGGAACGTGTTTGGATATGGGTGGCACAACTGGAAGCCGTACTAAATGGGTGATTCATGTTGGCTTATGTTGGCCCGAGCATGAGAGCCAAACGGGCCCTAAATTGCCACGGGTTCAAGTATTAGTATGGATCCATGCAATCGGCCTTTGAATTGAACGTGTTCCATGCGGATCAAACAAATCAGCGGAAAGAGAGTTACCCCATTTTTGTTTTGTCTTGTCAGCCCTAGCTCTGGCACATCCCGGAGGGTAATTGTTTAGTTTAGGGTACTCTTTTTGCGTGGTTTCAAAGAGAACCAACGAGAAAGACAGTACTTTTGTCGGCTGGAGGGGAGGGGTGCCGAAATTTGAAACAAGCACACAAATAATGTGTCAAGGTCTTCTGAACAGTTTCAACGGCGACGGATTCGGAGTATGTCTTACAGGTTCTACCGAACCAGTTCCAGCTTGCATGACACCCATGCGAGCATCCCAGAAGCAAGTCAAGCTACCCAACTGTCAAATCATCTAAGTACCTAAAAGAACTGAACCTTCATGACTTTCAAGTTGCAAACCGAAACCCTTTGTGACTTTGCCCATGTTTACGCCAGCGCCGAGCGCGAAGCACCGCACCTTCCCCTTCCTGACTTTCGGTTCCGGTGTCCAGAACGATTTATTGCTGGTGCAATAGGCAGGGAATGAGAAATGGAATGACCCCATAAGCAAACTATGGATCCCCTTCCGGTTCATTGCCAACGCCCATTGCACCAGGGGTCCAACAAAAAGCATCCCACCCCAGCCGGGGTGTCCTTCACACCTCGCTGCACCGATGGGCGGACGGCAGACGCCACCTCTGCCGCAGTTCGCACCAAAAAGATGTGCTCTCCGCGGTTGGCATTGCCTGGGCTCACGCAAGCAACAACAATGCCCACTGCCATTTGATGCGCTGATAGTCGGCTGCAGCAAAACGATAATTACAACTACAAGTTCATAAGGGGTGTCCTTTTTTTGAGGGTGCCCCTTTTTGCGGCGACAAAAAGGGAAACCAAACGGAAATCAAATATAGAGACCTCAACAGACTTTGGCCAGGAGGCTGGCTTTGACCACGAGGTGAGTGGGGTCGCAGCTGGCAGCCCACTTCTCCACTTTGGCAGGCAGCTTCTGGAGGTCGTCCTGAAGGAAAAAGCACGTCTCAACGGTGGTTCCCCAAGAAGGTTTCCACAAGAAGTAAAGGGTTTAGAGGGTTCCCCTCTTGGTTTCTCATTCTTTAGAGGGTTTCCCCAAGGTTTTGAAGGTGTGCCCTCTCAAATGATAGTTGATCCACCACTCTGCAGTCTACAGTAGCAACCCTGAGTCCCTGAGTTCCTCGCCCAACGCCTCGGACTCCACCCGCCACAGTCGTGGACACCGTGCCCTTTTGCCCAGGTTCAGTCCCAAGTCATACGAGTACGCGACAATCAATGCCAAAGAAATGGCACTCTGAGGACCATGTTGAATAAAGGCCACTTCCTGGATGACATTGCAATGTGCCCCAATACCGCACCAAGCAACACTAAGCGTCCAGGCCCATTCTATCTGAGGGACAAGAAACTTGGGTCTGCAACCAAGTTGCCCAGTGGTACGAGAAGATAGCCTTGGGGGATGCAGTTTTAAGTGGCCAGGTTCAAAGGGATTGAAGAAAGGGTCGGAATCCATTCACACCGAAAATAAGGTTTCCCGGACGCCCGCCTCATCCTCCACATCTGCCACTAAGGTTGGCGGCATGACACCTGCAAAGCGCTTCTTGGCCAGGTAGTGCGCCAGCATTCCTGGCAAGGGGCTGATGGGAAGCAAATAGGGATGGATGCGGCAAGTGCTCCTCATGGCTTGCTTCATGTCTGGCTCCTTGTGACATGAGCGAAAAACAGTGGACGTGGGTTTGAGATATACACAGGTGAGTTGCCCCACGTCTTGCCTGCTCCCAGATTGAGTCGTCTCTCGTCCCCGGTCTGAGTGCTTGAGTCTTTGTCGCCTATCGTTGTCCAGGCAGGATAGATGGGTCTGGCTCAAAAAGATGGAACCCTTTGCGGTTCGAACAGGTTTCATCCATGTTTGGAACCAGTGGCGTCAAACGGCATGTCTCCCTTTGAGACCAATCCACAAAAAAAACAAGCCACGGCCCTTCCACGTGCGGCCGCTCCTTTGCGCACCAAAGATGCCCGCACATAGAGGCTGGAACAGCGCTGCAAGCGCCCGTCAAAGAAGGCGTCCTCGCGAGGGCGCGTTGACAACTTGCGAGGGGAACGCAGCCGCCGATGTGATTGAAGGAATATTGAGTGCACGCTTGCCCCTTGCGACAAATGCCGCGCATTGGCGGTACTCCGTCCTTTACAATTTGGAGCCACACTCCAATTCAGGAAAAGCAGCCACAACCTGCATACAAACAAACATTGCACCCGTAGTTGTCCGGCGATGTCAGAGCAAACAAGAAAGCATTTCCAAGTCTTGCTGGCTCCTGAGTCTTCCTCCGTCCAGTCTCTGCTTCCTCTGCTTCTTTGTTTTTCTGAAAAAGCGCCCACTCCACTTTCTCCGTGATCACTTAGTCTACCTTGCAGTCTCTTTTTTTTGGTGTCTCCAAACACTTGTCTTCCAGAACCTTTCTTCCAACCTTAGGGCTTGAAACCGATTTGCGTATCGGGATTTTAGTGTTTGAGGCACCAGGTCTGAAGTATGCATAGCCAAACATGCAGCTTGGCCTGACCAAAGAAACATCAACCCACCCCAAAGCTGTCGACCTGCTTCTTCCCCCCCCCCCCCCTCCCGCCCCGTCCCAGTCGATGGCGTCGAAGTCAGCCCACTGGGTGGAGGCCTCTCTTTCCACGCGCACGCCCAGCTGCCGCGCGGCGGCCAGTGCCACCTACCCGAAGCGAGGAGAAAGCTGGCCGCTGCCTCTTGTTTGGATTTCCTTCTGGGCTTGTGGGGGCTCTCATGGAGAAAGCTGACTCCAAAGTGTTCCCTGAATTCGCCTGGACTGTTGCAAGGGTGTCCTGTTGATGTCCTTTGAAGCCTTCAACAAAATGGGCCCCCCAACAAGCCAAAACAAAACTCTGCCGGGGAGCCCCACCTCCTGCGCATAGGCCGAGCGCAGCGCCACGGAGATCGACACCGGCTTCCGCCGCCGGAGGAACCAGCGGATCACCAGTGAAAGCAGCAGTGGAGGAAGCAGCCGAAGCGCCAAGCGCAGCGGCCGCTGCAAGGGAAACATCGCTAGGGCTTCGGCTGTTTTCTTGGTGCCTTGGGTTGGTGATCTGGAGCTTAGGAAACGTAGAGAATGCAATCAGCAAACTGGGCTTCAAATCCCAAACCACTCATGCGGGGTCGCTGACTTCACTGAGTGGGACGGAACTGTCCGAGCACAGCGACCAAGACCTATCAGTTACAGGCTCGTCAACTGGCTCCCCAAAATCTTGGACTTTAGGGTCACTACCACCATTGACCCTGGTTGCAAAACACATCTCAGCTAATGTATGTCCAAAACTTATGTCCAGACTTGATTCCAGAACATTGACTTCTAAGGCCATCCACGCTTGCGAATTCAGACATCAGGCCTGGACAAAGTCGTCCCCCCACTGCGCCAATGCAGCGACCGCTTTCGTTTTTGTGATGGTCATGCTCAGCAAGATAACTTGCTCCATGACTCCATGTCAGGCAGGCTTTGAGAGAGGCAAATGCCGATCTAGTCTGACCAATCCACGGCCCATGGGGAAAAACACAGCACACCAAAAAACAAGGCAAGCAAGCAAGCATGCAAAAAACAACAACAATGAAAGCGACCTCTATGCAAGCAACCGGTGACACTGGGCAAGCTACGAGTACCTTGCCGTTTTGTTGTTAGTTATTTGTCTTTCAGTGTCTTTGTTTGATTTTGGTCTGGGGGGAGGGGGAGGGGAAGGCCTTTCAAGGCAAGCCCTAAACAGACCACGCTCCAGCGGCCCGCAGCAAGTTGCTTAGGAACTCACCCCTTATATAGCTCTGCTCAAGATCTTCTCCTAGCATGCATGCTCGTGTGCATTCATTCATGCACCATGTACTCCAATTTGCTCCTGCATGCTTCAACAAAATACGTATATTCATGAACACGAGCGTAAAACCTGTTGAACAAGGGTTCCTCCTTGTGCACGGACCGTCAGAAGTTGCTACTGCCAACCCAAACGTGATTTTCAGGCTTGTCCACCTTTCGCACAGCACGTGCCGTCCTGAACAACTGAATCCAACCAACACTCACAGTTTAAAGAAATCTCCCCCGCAGGTTCCTGCGCAATGAGCATGGAAAAACATCTAGAAACCAAAATCACGGTTGTCTAAATCTCCAAATCGCACCTGGATTGGTGGCAACAGCCTCACCACTCACAAACAAGAGCATGGACGGACCAACACCAAGTCAAGCCAAACAAAAAATGCAAGTTACAGTAAAGCCCTTGTTGGGGGGGACTCTTTCGCCGGGGAGGCTTCTTCAGGCAATGAAATCGGTTTCACAAGGGGATCCCCCAAATCAGCTGGTACACCGGATCTTTTGCCTGGCCCGTGTCTCTTTGTTTCTTTGCGCGGAAGGGGCCCTGGGAAACTGAGAATCCGCGCCATCGCCGGTAAAGACCTTCCTGGGCGATCCATGCGGTACGGTTAAGCTTGCTAGTGCCAGTGGGGAATGACCCAGGGTGTTGCGAATAAACCTAGGGACTCTCGTAAAGGAACCATAGGGGATCGCGTATGGGGGATATTCCTTCATTCCTTACTGAGAACCAGCAAGTAAAAACCCATTCGGTTCATCTTCCCCAAATGTTTTGAGCAATTTTGACCTTTTGACCAGGCTTCTTTTTTGGAACAGGTCATCAGCCCAAGTACTCCTTTGTGGGACCCACAGAGCTGCCAAAAGCCTTGCAGCTTGCTCAGTAGGACAGTAGGACAAAAGAGACAGGTCTGAACAAAACCGTGGCTTATCTGTGTTGTCCCTGGCCCAGGAGCTATTACCTCTATCTGAGAAGCGTTGATCAGTCGAGGTTCGAATGTCCTTAGGACGGGTTGTTCTCATAGGCTCTTTGCAAGCCGGGCGGTCAAGCCACGGCTTTCAAAATCAGATTGTCCTCTTGTAGTTCATCCTGGATTAAATTTGCAAATTTAAATTTTAGCCCACATTGAACTCCAGACTTCAGTCGGCACTTGCGGCCGTCAAACCATGGCACTGCCATTCTTCCAGCCGAGCAAAAGCCGCATGAGCTCGCGTTTCAGACATATGGGCTTGTCTCCAAGTCTGGGAATGCTGCAAATGGCTGGTTTCCCTTTGGCTGCCCTCTAGCGCTCCAAGCGTACCAGACTCGCTGTATCCTACAACGCGCGCATATTCTTGAAACACCACCTCCTCTTGTCCAGCCAGCTACTCGAGCCCCGCCTGTGCTGGCCATAGCCCAAGCTGCCCCTGGCGTGGTCTCCCAACTGCATCATGCGGTTGTAGACCTGCCGCGCGGCATGGCGAGTAAGCAAAGCTCGACGCGATTGACTTTGCGAGCCCTCAGGAGCACACCGACTCACCTTTTGATGGCCTCTGATGGTGGAAATCAGCCTCTGATCACCTATGAAGCCTGAGGATTCAGGTGCGAACCTGGCACTAGGAAAGGACTTCATTTGTCGTAACTTGTGTCTCATCCGACGACTGACACTGCCAAAAGGGTCTCCAAAGGAGAATCGCCACTCATACACTTGATTCCGTCTAGACTTTCTGGAGAGAAGCTCCAGCAAAATCCAAGATCTGAATATTTGGCCCACGGCCTGGGTGCAAATACGCAAACACATAAATTCCCGCCGGAAGGGCCACAACAAGTATGAAGCTGAACTTGACAAAATCCCAGAAGTGGACCATGAACTCCGTTGAGCACTTCAACATGGCTGTCATCATGGACGCCCTCATGAATGTCTTCGCATGCACATGTGCCATGCACACGCACATGCTGAAAACTATAATGGACTCCGAAAATCGGGGTGCCCCAAAAGGAGATCCCTCTACAAACGGCTACATTCTTGGTTCAATGTTAGTCGTTAGGAGGTTCCTGGAAATGGCCCGCTTCTGAGAGCTGGAAACACCTGCGAAACGCGAGTCCTTTTCAAACGGCATCAGCCAGGCACGGTAAGCAATGTGTTTTAAATCAGCAGCGACCCAGCTTTCTTGAGCTCATGTTGTGCAAGAAGCAGCTAGGAAGGGTTGGCTCTAATTAACACCCGCAACTCTTTGTTGGGTCATAGCGAGATCCATGCGCTGAGATGTGGCACTTTGGCACATTCATGGTGCCTGCGAGGTCCAGGAAATCCAGCTCGCTTGCATGACTCTAGATCATCCATGCCCGCGCCCAGAGTTCAAATCACACGATACGGCCGAAGAAGCAGAGGCAAGCAAGCAAACAAAATAGGCAAAATAATACAAAGCAAGCAAGCAGGCAAATAAGTAAGTAGGCAAAGAACCAGAAGCAGGTAGAGATAAACAGATAAGTAAGCAGAAGCAAGCAAAACAAATAGGCAATCAAAATAATTAAATATGCAAGCAATAAATAAATAAACAAACAAACAGGTAAGCAAAAAAATAAATAGAAGCAAACAAGCAAAAACAAATAGAGATAAACAAAGATAAGCAAACAAAGGTAAGAACGCAATAGCATTTAGCAACAACAAATAAAAACAAATAGATAAAAATAGGTAAAAACAAACAACGACAAACAAATAATAACAAAAAACAAAACAACAAACATGCCAAAACCATACAATTACATTCAAAAAATCACAAAACCACATAAAAACAAAAAAATAAAACAAAACATATTATCATGAAAAACAACGAAAGACAACACAAAACAACGAGAAAGAACACGAATCAACACACAAAAAAAACAGAAAAATAAAAGGAACAAAAAACAACAACAACAAACACCACCCAAAAAAATACAACCAAAAAACATAGAACAAAACAAACAACAAAAAAGCAAAAAAAACTAAAGCAAGCATCACGCGGAGTACTAAATTTAAGATGTTTATAAACGGAGTCGAGCTTCAACGTAGTGATTTGCTTGAGGGTGAATCGAAATCACGGCATTTAGCATCGGGTTCTAGCATCCGGCGGGTATATGCAACCTTTCTGCGTTGAGACTCAAATGCTAAACTATCTTGTGAGATCTATGCGGCTTTTGAGTAGCCTGCTGACATATGGCTCAACCTAGACGGTGCAGACTGGGCCACCATTTCGAGGGCAATTTGGCTATGGGCTATAGGTCAAAACCCCCAGTGAACATCCCAATCCCACTAAATATCATGGGGGTGCACCTACCTCAAAATGGTACCATTGGTGTTGACCCACGGCCATTTGGAGGATGTCAGGGGAATGCACCCTCGTGAGTCAGAATCCCATGCACCGGTCGCTGGCACCATGGCATCGCCGCGTCACAGCGGAAGCTCGCTCATCTGTGAAAATGATCAGCCGTCACCGGGGGAGGTTCTCCCGTTCATGCGAATATATGAAAGTGTCTCAACTTGCTGGACCGCTTTTTGGCTGACAGCTAAGGGAAACGAAAATCAAACCAACCATTTGAGGGGGACTCCTATTTGGAGAAGCGCCCATGACTGAACTTCAAGAACCCACGTTTGAGGTGACTGCCAAAGACACCCCGCACTGCCGCGGAATTCCCAGGCCAACGGGCCTGGCCGTCGGCCGGACTGCTGTGAATGCCAGCAAACCGTGTGGGCTACGAAGGTTTAAGGGGGCGAAATTCTCAAACGGTTTATGACTAAGTCATACTAAGTCTGTTGCCCCGCAACTGTCATCCTGCCAGCAGCTAAACAAACAACACGGTGAATGGGAAGGCAAGCCTGTGGCAAGGGTTTCCACTTCGTTCTTCGAACAAAGGTAGCAAAAGGCCCCGCTAAACCGCCTCTTGGGGATTAATGGGTTTGAGGGGACCCTGACAAGAACGATCACCCAGTAATAACTTGATGTTCCAATCCGATCTGACAGCAGAATCCAGGCCTAGTCGCCTGATATGGGGATCTTTCAAGTCAGCTGGTAAACCTGTTGAATGGAAAGTCAACAAAATTCCTCCCCGCAGCTTGATCGAATTTCATTTAAGGGTTGTAGCCGGACCATTCTCAGCGCGAGAAAAGCGGAGTCGCCCCTCGCACGACTGTCCTTCTCCCACCTCCTGGACACGATTTGCGCAACTACTTTTCCCAGAAGGTGGTCGCTCTTAAGGACAATA